AAGAAGGACCTGATCCAGCGAGACCTCTTCGAGAGACGAAATTTTCGCTGCTTCTGTTATCTCGCTACTGTTGTTGCGATAGTATTTCCAGTCCTCCTTGTCATGTAGCTTGATGAAGTCGTCGTGTAAGTCGACGTCGAAGCAGTTGTGCGGCACCCAGCTGTATGACCAGAGCTGGAAATGGCAGCCCCTGGCCCGGGCTTCGTCTGGGCTCTCGCCGCAGCTTGTAATAACAGGAGCAGCTGGTGCAATGGCATTCGTGACCGCTGATGTCCGATTGATGATCAGAGGCACCGCCCACAGGATAGATGAGGCGATCACGCCAATGAGGAAAGGACCGAGGACCCTTTTCACGGATTCGAGCCTTGTGTGTTTCCGTTCCTTGCCAGTGTACGGTGATTCTGCGAGGAAAGGCTCGTCCTCGTCGTATTCGGCTTGAGGAACCGTCGTCATTCTGGAGTTGCGTCTTGTAAGGTGTCAGTTCAATCGGGAAGCATACCAGGTAATCGAATGCAGAACTCACGAGAAACTGAGTGAATTGGTTCTCTTCAGTTGTTAGGTTCCTACTCTATGAGATCTAGTTCACGATGGTGGCAATGCAACGACCGCTGCAAAAAACGACTCTTACTCTCTGTTCTGTCCCCTCCTCCTCTTCTTTTCCTCCTACTCATCCCCCTCATCCTCGCACAAGACTTGATCCAACCCGCGTCTTCGATACTTTCTCACTATTTCCGTCTATAACGATATCACGATAACAGAAGTCCCTCAGTGTGACAGCGGTGATTTGCCTCTCGAGCTAATGCATGCAGTCAATGCTTGATTGCACCAACATGGTGGGTCGGAGTTCCGTCTTCAAGGTTGTTGTCTTTGTAATCACCACAGATACATCAACCCAATCAGATGATAGCAGATAGCCTACTCTACTGAAGAGAAACACTTATCAAGCATCTTTGTTGCCGAGTTTACCGATGTGAGGTGATGAATTTTGCAAAAGTTCTGTATCGTGCAGTTGTATTAGACTTTCCCTCGAAACTACCAACCGTTTCTAGCCTCCGAGAGACAAGCATCAGCATCCTCCAAACACAACGTTTCCGCTCGTATCCATCTCGTCAATCCCCTCAGCCTGCAGCGCCCTCCACAGCAGAAGCATGGTACAGTGCTTGGAGTGATCAAAGTCCGCCGTCAGCTTATCCACCCTGCCACCATCGGCAAATGCGCGCGCCTTTCGAACCAGCATCCACGCGCAGTGCGTCAAGTGTTCCCGCTCCGTGCCCCACCATTTCTCGCTCCTCCCGAGAGATGCGAGGTCTTCCATGCTGAGCTCCTCTTCTCCGGCCTGGTCCCGCCAGTATCGCCAACGAGATTGATTGTGCGTTGCGCCCGCTGCCGCTTCGAATTCGGCTAGGCCGTAGCGGGGGCAGGCGGTGGGCAGCCAGGCTTTGGCGAGAGCGTCAAAGGCGCATCCTGCTTGCTGGGCTTCGGCGACGCTGCTGCCGCAGCTCAGTTTCTGCTTTGGTACTGTTGACTGTAGAAGACGTAGATGCAGGGATAGTAGTATCAGTAGTAGAGTTCCGAGGATAGTGACTGTTGCGAGTAGCGAGACGAATACAAGCCGGCTTGGCTGTCTGGTGGTGGAGCCTTTGGCAGTCGCAGATGGGTTGGTTGCGGTCTCATCGTTGAGCGGGTGATACTTGCAAGTAGGCGACGGAAGTTTTAATGCTTGGGGAGCCATGTAGTTGAGACTTGAATGATGGTTGCAGTTTGTGGTATCATGGTATGCGGGTAGTATGTGGACTTGTCCTATTGATATAGAAGCGGGCAAAGCGGGCAGTGCCAACCCAAAGGCAGAACATGAGACATGCGCGTCCTACAAGTGAATTCTCTCAAAATTCAGCTGGATTTGATCGACTTGAATCTATCTGTGAAAAGTTTCTAGAAAACTGCCTGAACTCAAGAGATTTAAAGAACATGTCACATACTCCATGGCGAAGGTGCGCGAAGCGTTTAAATCGAAGGGAATCCTCGCTTCTTACTCCATATCAGTGTTCAACGCTACTCCAGCCACAGTGCCATACCCCGGGTCCAAGAAGATCTTGCCGCAATGCTTGATATGCTTCTCATTGTCCGACCGCGGCTCAACCATCTTGCCATTGAATCGCGCCCGATGCTCCTTTCTCCAGTAGAAAATGCAATGCAGGACGTGCCAGTGCCCAGACATGTGGAACCGCAGTTCCTCCTGGTTATCCGCCATCTTTGCAATCTCTCCGACGCTGATCTCTTTGTTATGCGCGGTATCGGCCCAGTACGTCCACTCGCCGTTGGGGCCGGGCCCGGAGCGCTCAAACTCAGCCGTCAGCTCGTCGTCCCGACAGTGCTCGGGAAGCCAAGCAGCAGCCAGGGAGTCATATTTGCAGCCCAAAGTGACTGCTTCGGCGGTAGAGTTTCCGCAATCACAAGATGTGATTGTGGGTGGCGCGTGCAAGTTGTCTGGTTTTGAGGTGCCATCCGAGAGGAAGTGAGAGGGGATGTTGATTGGAGACTGGAAGAGGCCAACAAAGCCTAAGATTGCGAATGCAATCAAGATCAAGTCCTTCAAGGTTGAAATTGACGGCCTGAATAGCCGGCAATATCGTGAAGCTTTGTTGCTTCGAAACCCCGTAGTCGAAGAGACTGAGTCGTCGTCAGAGTTTTCGGCCATGAGAGACTGCTCTTCGTCGTGTGTACTATGCCTGGATGATTGTATTAGCCCTTGATTCTCTTCAAAAAAGCATTTCAGACTCGCCATTTCCCTTTAGACGCCATTATCAGCGTGGTCAGTGTCAATGTCAAAGCCAATGCTGGAAGACTTCCGGTTGAGGGAGATGTTGATGTGAGAAATCGCGACCTGGGAGGGTCTGTCTAAGCACTTGAGGAGGGGGACTGGTCTACGTCTGTCTCAAACGTGCTGATAGGCTTTCGGGTCTAGCATAGTTGCTTACCAGGTTAGTCCAAATACCCCTCCGTGATCTGCACGGTGACTTGGCAAACATACCAGGGTCGGTCATGGGCCCGGAGGAAGGATCATTGAGGCTATGCGGACTGTCACCTAACTGAGTGGACCGAGATGCATGAAGCAGCTAACACAGTAGTATGGACTTGGAAGGGCTTTGGAGTGCCGTGTGATTTGAATGATATGTCCAGGAATAGAATGATGGCGCGAACCATGAAGTTCCCATGTCGAAGCCGCGGTTCTAAGCCATCAGCAATTCATCTTCGGGGGGGCCCCTTCGGTTCGCTCTTCGAATAGAATCCTCGGTTCCAACCATCTCTCTTCTTTACAAACTCAATGGCACCAAAACACAGTTACAGCCAAGTTTCTCAGACATCTGATGTCAAATCCTCCACCGAGGAGGAGCTCGACGAGAGCGACAATGGTCCCAAATTTGGACGCAAACCGAGGGTCCTCTCTCCCACATTCCTCACGGTCTTGCTGAACGGATTGAGCCTCGTCTTTGGCATCGGAATTGGTGCTTTGATCGTTGCAATCATCACGCATAGGCCAGCACCGCAACAACCCAACAATGCCAAACCAGTCGCTGGAACCGTCGCCATGATTGACGGCATCGAGGCGCCAGGCACGCAGTGCGGCGATACCTGGCAAGAGGCAAGGGATCTTGGCTGCCACTTTGATGTCATGGCATCACGCTGGTACGCTCCCGAATGCTTCGACCAGACGGCCCTCGAAGGCATGCTCGACGAGCAGCCGTACGTCAACTTCACCTGGTACGAGGACAAGGAGCATACAAGAGTCTACCCCTCCGAGCTCGTCTTGCGGGGCGAGTTTGATAAGGTGTATCCCAGCGGAGACTATCACATCTATCACTGTCTCTACTTGTGGCGGAGACTTCATCACGCCGTGATCAAGAATAAGCCTGTCGATGAGGATTTGCTCGAGTACGGCCACACGCTGCACTGCACTCGCATGATTATGCAGTGGATGGATCCAAGCATACCCAGGACAACAATTTCCTCTGCCACAAGCGGGACGCCGTTTTGCAGGAGTAGCCGGTTGGGTCTGATGGTTTAGTGAGAGGGTTGAATAGTTAGTGCAGGGGAAAGGATTGTTGATTCGTTGGTGGACTTGGCACTGCTTGGGACCCTCACCTAAGAAGCTTAATCCAAAATATTACCGTTTTCAGATGTGCCCCTCTTGAATTGCGCCTTCTATTGGTTGCCGACTCTCTCCATTTCTTCAGCAATAACACCGCACAGACCAGGTGAACTCAACTGAAATCGACGATTGCTTCGAGATTCTGGCTGGCATCTTCAAGTTTGACTGAAACCAGATAGCCAGAATTAGCGCTCTTTCATTCAGATAGGTCCTTCTAGGTGACTCTTGAGTCGGGTATCCGGCAGCTTCTTGAGATCGCCAGTGGCAGAACAGCACATCAGATGGTGGCCAACATGACGTGACTGACCAAAGTCCCAAACGGTGAGCGGCTTTGGGTGTGAGCTGCACGTATCATTGTCCCACTCGAGGGAAATATGACCAGATGGGCACTAGTGTTGACTCTTCATATTCATCTAAAGTTCAGAGTTGATAGGCGAATATACTTAATCCCACATGCGGAACGGTGGGTGCCAATATGCATGATCCTGAGCGACATATTCCAGGAAGTAGCTAACCCTGACTGGTGATTGCTACACGAGCGACAATTTGTCAGTTCGGGGTCGCCTCATACTCCGCTATATGTCTAATTGTCAAGCTATTCTCGGATGAGTACAGGGAAGCATTCACTCGCAGTCCCAAAACAAGGTCCATATGGACAATATGTGGCCCGGCCGTCCGAACACTTCTTATGGTATTATATACGCATGTCCCAGTTCTTCAGTCTAATAGATCATACGATACTGTCAAGACATCTTTCTTAGCCACAATCTTTAATCTACCAAATCAAAAGATCAGCACTACTACTACAACAACTACTTCACATACTTTACCGCCAGACAATTCCTACACCATGAAGCTAACGTTCGCCCTCACCGCCCTCCTTGCCACAACCGCCATGGCCGGAGTGGCAAAGATACGCCACGAGGACGAGACTCTTGAAGACAGCTACAAACGTCGCTCCGTCAAAGCTGGAATCGTCCCTGTCAAAGAAGAGGACATCATCTCTCTTGGCGACAGGGCAGTCAAGGCTGGAATTGTTCCTGTCAAGGAAGAAGACATCATTTCTCTGGGAGACCGCTCAGTCAAGGCGGGCATCGTGCCAGTCAAGGAAGAGGACATCATTTCTCTGGGAGACCGCGCTGTCAAGGCTGGCATTGTTCCGGTAAAGGAGGAGGACATCATCTCACTCGGAGATTAGGCAGTCTTAGTCAATGACAGAGACTACTCGAGATTATGGAGGGCAATGGAGATCTGTTGATGTTCTATCGATCTTCAATCAAGTAGCATGCGTTACAATGACATGGCTTCTGTTCAATACATGAAAGCTCAAGGAAACAAGAACCTTCCACCTCCAGTCTTTCCTACAGCACCGTGATCTCTCAGGACCCTCATCGCTTCCTCGTGACCTCCAACCGCAGCGCTCTGCAGCGGAGTCTGCCCTCTTCGTCCCTTGAAGCTACAGGCATTCACATCAGCACCGGCCGCCAACAAGCGCTCTATCACATCCACTCGACCTGTCTCAGCTGCCGCATGCAACGCCATTGCATCCCCGTAGATTCCTCCCACGGCGTGGACATCAGCGCCTTCCCGAAGAAGAAGGTCGGCGACCTCGAGATGACCTCGCAGACATGCGCCCTGAAGAGCCGTGTAGCCCTTGTACTTTGCCGAGGCCGCGTTGATATCAGCCCCGTGTTGGAGAAGAAGCTTCACTATCGCCAAGTAGCCGCCGCCCGCTGCGGCTTGCAGTGCCGTATACCCCGCCGTTGGTGAAGGCGGGGCGTTCACGTTGGCACCCATTCGCAGCAGTCGACTGACGAGATGCTCGTGTCCTCGTTCTGCTGCTGCCTGGAGTGCCGTTCTTCCGTTATACCGCGTCACAACAACCGGCGACGACGATGGTGTTGTTGGTGACCTGTACCCCGAAGGATGCGGCACAGGCTTCAATGACACCTCGTCGACTCTGGCCCCCGCGCTGAGCAGGATATCAACGACCTTTTCGTTGCCGTGCCCGCAGGCTATCTGCAAGGCGTTCCTTTGGAAGTTGTTGCCCCCGCAAAAGTGGATATCGGCGCCGGCGTCGACAAGCATCTGCACGGCCTGTTCGTGGCCGTGCATGCATGCAGCCTGGACGGCCGTCTGTCCGTAGTACCCATGCGGGGGCTCGTTGACGGCTGCCGGGTCGGCGGCAAGGATAGCGCGGATTTGGTCCAGGTCTCCGCTTCTGGCGGCGAGCTGTAGCGGCGTCCAGCAGTACTCCTCTCCATCGTCAGTCTGCAGAGTCGGGTCCCACGCCGCGTCTAGAGGCGGCAGGGATTTGTGCATGACTGTTGGGCTCTGAGTAAGGCGAGCCAAGGCTCGGGAGGGCAGGTGGTATTCGTGGGATCGAGAGGATCAGGAGGGGTCCATCCAGCTTCGTGAGCTCTTAGGAAACAGAACTTCAGCTGTGATACTGATAAGATGGCAACAGTTCAGGCAAAAGTAAGCCCGTCAAATTTATGCTTGAAATTGCATATTGCTTAGTGATGTGTTGTTGGCGACTGGAACGGCTGCATGTTGGTTGGCCAAGACGGGCGTTCGATCCTCTTACATGCGCTAGCTTACCGGATCCTGTTGCCTATCGATCGGGATTCGGCACACGTCTATCCTCAAGATGCGGGGATCAAAAGCGACATGGGTCCGGAGGGAGGTGAACGTTTAGATGAATATCACTATCTCTAGATGCCATCTCTGTATCGAGGACAATGGGCGACTGTCTTACAGAGACTACTTCGCAACTCTCACCGTGATCATCTTGCACAACGCAAGCTGCTGTTCTCCGTTCATCCCTTGACCCAATTTCCTCGCCTCATTCCAATTACGCAGCTATGCCTGGAAAGTGGGAGAAGCCTTTTCGCGATGAATCAGGCTTGTCGTCTGAGGATCTCAGTCTAACCGATGAGACTCTCAGAGTACGACGAGCAGGACCTAGACGCCAAGTCTGGAGGTTATTGGGAGAAGCCGCTCTCGCAGTTGTAATCATCATACTAGGCGGAATCGTCATTCATGATAGAGTTCTTCCAAGGACTGGATTATTGCCCTACGGGCCAGTGCGTATGTAACCCCCCGGCTTGCCTCTTTTCATGAAAATCGCTAACAATCACTGCCATTACCATTAGTTCCCCAGAAAGTTGTCACTTTCGGCAACACGGCTGGCTTTGGGCCGGATCTCGTATATGCGGACCGGCAGATGCTTCTGAACGCTACAAGAATGCAAGAAGTACATGAGAACTGGCAGCAATTATATCCAAGTAAGTCATCTAGTTTACCCATGGGATATCGCTGACCTCCGCGTCACAGTCAGTCGAGGCTACTTTGTGGCAGACGAAAATGGTGCAGAATACAAAGTCCAGTTTCCACCAGCAGACATCAGCGGCGTGTTATCCCCAGATGACAAGCGCAGCGGCTGGGTTCTCTCTGTATTTCATCAGATTCACTGCCTGGTAAGCATCTGAGAGCCACAATTCAGTGCTATGTTCCTCGCTGCCTAGGACAAAAAAGAGCTGACACCAACCCATAGTCAATCATAACAACAAGGCTCGGCATCTCCCGAAAAGAATTCGCAGACTGGGACCCCTTCAAGTTAGGGCACACAGCGCACTGCATCGAGTACCTGCGACAGAGCATCCTATGCTCAGGAGATACAAGTCTTGAAGGCGAGTCAGGATCATGGTCGGAGAGTATCGGCTGGGGTCAGAACCACGTATGTAGAGACTACGACGCGCTTATGCGGCTGGCGAACGAGAAGGCAGCCTGGGACCTCAGTCACGAGCGCGAGCCGGACCACTCCAAGCTCTTTGATTCTACCATGGAAGACTGCGATTCAGAGAATGGGGAGTACTGTCATTGACAGGTTCAATCACGATACCATCATGTAGGAAGGAATGGGGATCTTTTGCCTTGCCTACATATCCATGAGTATGAACATAGATCACATCGCCAAGGTAGTGGTATCAGCATGTGAGATTGCTATCTGCCGGTGAATATTGTGTGTCTCACTGAGCCTGGTCTAGTTAATGGCACCTGTCTACATCAATACAGTCTATGGCCAGCTACCCTTGAGCTTAAATGCAGGTCAAGCTCATTAGATGTTACCACTTTGAGTCGTACAGCCAGCCGATCAAGTATTCTAGGGGGTCCAAAGATCCGTCAATACCCCCGAGTATCTTGATCGATCCAAATAGTATTACGGGCTGATACTTTTTGCCCAGGTCCTTATTATGTAAGTGTAATGAAGCTACAAGTACGTCGTAGTACTTTGTGAGATAGTGCCGAAAGTGTCGTTGATGTCCCAGCTAGTCGTTTCCTCGGGTGATATTGAACCCTTTCAGCAGCATTCCATGAAGCTATTGAGAGAAAGGAGCATTCATGCTACCTAAGAGATACCGACTAAAATGGACTTCACCGCCATATACTCGCTAAGCCCAACCGCACCACCTTCTCGCCCATACCCGCTTTCTTTCACACCTCCAAAGGGACTTTCGCAGGCACTCAGGCTGCCAACGTTGATACCGACCATGCCGGTATTCAGCGCTTCTGCGACACGCCAACTGCGAGAGATACTCTCGGTCATAACAAAGCTTCCGAGGCCAACATTTGAGTTGTTCGCCAGTGTAATCGCTTCTCTTTCGTCCTCAAACTGATACAGTCCTAGCACGGGAGCGAACACTTCCTCCCGAGTCGTGATCATATCCTGCTTCATGTTGGTGATCAATGTAGGTTGCATAAAATAACCACCCAGCTCAGATAGCAAAGAACCTCCTAGAATAACTTCGCCACCGAGACGTTGTGCATCTGTCACATGGTCAATACATGGCGATACGGTCAGAAACAAAATGGCACAGACCTTCTATGTGCGACAAGGCCTTCCGAAGCCCACCTTCATGCGTTAATGGCCCAACATTGACGTCTGCTTGAATGCCGGGGCCGACTTTGAGTTGTTGCATCCTCTCTTTCATCTTCAGAGCGAACTTATCATAGATGCCCTTCTCAACAAATACCCGGTTGGCTGCCACACAGGTCTGTCCGGAATCGCGAAATTTTGCGACCATCAGAATCTCTGCCGCGCGATCAAGGTCTGCGTCATCGAATACGATGAATGGGCTATTGCCGCCAAGTTCGGGAGAGAGCTTTTTTAGCGTTTGGCCACATTGCTCAGCAAGTAGCTTCCCAACGCGGGTGCTCCCTGTGAAACTGATCTTCTGGACCTTTTGGCTTTTGCAAAATGCTTCCCCGACCTCAGCAACCTTGTCCAAAGTCAGGACCACATTGATGGAGCCCGGGGGAAATCCAGCATCCTGGGCCAATATGGCTTGGGCAATACAGCTCAGTGGTGTCTCGTCTGCAGGTTTCCAGACAGTCGTATATCCGGCAGCTAGAGCCGCCCAAGCTTTACGAGTAATCATGGCTATGGGAAAGTTCCACGGTGTAAGCAGGGCAGCGACACCCAGGGGCTGCTGGATGGTCAGGATGCGTTGTCCGGTATTGGCGGCGGGGATAACTTGGCCGTATGTCCGCTCTGCCTCGCCGGCAAACCACTCGAGAAATGAAGCCCCGTACACTACCTCCGCTCTAGCCTCAGCAAGAGTCTTGCCGTTTTCCAGCGTCAAGATCAGGGCTAAGTCATCAATGTGCTTGAGGCATAATTGATGCCACTTCCGCAGCCACCGTGCTCCCTCTCTTGCGGGAGTCTGCTTGAAAGATCCGAATACTAGCTGGCCGTAACAGCTTAGCCGGAAATATTGCATAACTTGCGTTAAGCCCGCTTGAAACTGGGAGCAGCATTCGCCAGCTCGCGTAGATCGGCTATATGCGTTGTCATCCCTGACACGGAAAAGGTTCGTCTAAGGTCGGCCGTGCACGACACCTTGGGCATGGTACGGATACGGATGGGGCTGCCAGAAGCCAAGGCAAGTACAATCTCCGACTGTTTTCTTTAAAGAAGGCACGGCAAGGCGCCCAACTGCCACCCGCGCCTAGCGGTCCCCTATATGTCTGTTGACTTTCCGCCGTGCCAACCAAGCAGCCAGTCGACGACCCATTGCTGACCTTTCGTTGACGACGTCCGGCGGGCGGGGCCGCGTCCCCGTGCACCGCTCAGCCTTCAGCTTTCGGCCTCCCTGCCCAGAGAAGACACAGCCATGAAATGAAAAGAGAGAAATAAGAGAAAGCTTGAAAATTTCATACAAGTCTAAACCTTGGTGCCTTCATTGATAAGTCTGGTATTAGTACTATTAGTATATTTGTGATTTGTTTAGTTTCTGTCTTTGCTGATCGCTCGGGCGGTTCTCGGCACTCTTTACACGGTAATAATACACAGTACCAGTGGATACACTCACTGTCTAGATAGAGTATACATATGCTAAATTACTTTGGACAAAATCAGTTCGGGAAATTCACGACTAAGTTGAGAGTCTCTTTATTTTCACTTTCTTGTATGATTGTTCAGGACGATTTTATTAGACGAAGGTTTCTTTGCAGAGTAACCACAGCTACACACCGATCATCTAAGCATCGTCTGCCCCATGGTAGCAGTGACAATGTTTATATTCGCCTGGCTCAGATCGCCTCCTGCCGCATCGAAAGCTGCTTGAACTAGTTCCGCAACAGTATCACCATTAGGCTGTGCTTCGGGGAGCTTAAACCAGTCTATCTGCGAGTTGGGTATAGATAAGTTGAAACCCAGAGCGAGGAGTCGACTGCGCTTTTAATAATAAGCTAGATAGGAGGCGTGGACGATGACATACCTTCTTACAGCATCATCAGGCTGGCCGCCGATCGAATCCTCACTTTGTATGGTGCCGGCTATCGTCAGGGGTAAGGGGCAGTAATTCTTCCAGGAATTGACTCGATCAATGGCTGTCCCTGTAGTGGCGCCGAAGCGAAGAAACACGACCTGGTTGCCCCCAACAGTACAGGGATCTGTTATTGTCCAATATACGGTTTTAACCATGGTAGCGTGATAGAAATGCTGGATTCTCTGAGACTATCCCACTTTATGTGAGAAATGTACTGTGGACGATTTGTACTTGCTCGCAGGATAATTGCGGTCAGACCAAGGATGACCAGGAGAAAAAAATGTGAAGAGACAAGATGCCATGGAGAGTGTCTGTCTAGTCTGTATTTATAAATCTCTTGGATCATGTGATCTATGTTAGGAATCAAGAGCACATGAACAAGATTGAACGGTTTCCGATTTCGGACAAGAATGAGAAGCGACGCGTGGCGAAACTTCGATAGAGCGTTTCGTTCGTAATGGACGCAAACAGCAAGCCACACGAGTTTTGCTCAAATGGCCATTGCAGAGATTCAATAAGCGAGCCAGTTCCTCTCAATCAGGTTTCGGGCTTGGTGTTAATCGACAAGGGAGCTCCTTACCAACAAATGCAGTCGATTGGCGCTTTCGAGGCGTCTCGCTCTGCTCAGCCTTTGATGGGCCGCCGCGGTCGAAAATGAAGCTAGTGCGGGGATCAGTATAAACAACATCGTAATGCGCCAGGCGGTGAGTATGCCGTCGACCTAGTCAATCGCTAGCTGTTGCAGGCTCTCGCCTTGAAGACATATATCGGCGAGGAATCTGCGTTGACAAGATATGGTTAACAATATATATTATGACTAGTCATCATAAAAAGATCATCTGATTTCTTGTTTGACAACAACGGTCTAGTAATATAACACTTAAAACCCGGAGTCTGAGTTTGTAGATAGAGTATCCTGCACTTACTATGTTTGAAAATAAGATATGTATATATACATTGTATATATACATGTATAGTTATTTACTTTATCAATACTTTTAGGGCCAGCTAGCCGTATTAAGGTATTTTAGCAGAAGTTGAGGCTGCGGGACTCAGGTAAACAGTGTCGTAGTCATGGATAGCTTCCCCGAAGCTATGTCTGTAGGTAGTACGTTCTCAAAATCTAAAGTACCTGCTTGAACCAGAAAACGCCGTAGACAAAGGTACGATTTCGGGCTGCCTGACCCTCTCGATAATGTCCGACCGGCTCGTATTGCCACCCAATCAAGTGATCGTGATGAGATATACATCCGCCAGCAACACTGGGACGTATCGGACAGTCTACACCTTATAGATAGCATCACAGACGCCACTGACTCCACTAGCTCCGAAGTGGTAGAAGAGGTAGATAACTCCGTGCGCATCAATTGCCGGCTACAGGCAACAACTGCGAGACTCCGGGAGGTGCTCTCGCGGCATAGCGCCGATGAGGAGATGGACAAGATATTTCGATAAATTGAAAACCATCGTAAGGCCTGACTTGAAAAAATAGCCCCCTGGATCTAGTACTGGAAGGCACTTACTAACGTCTTGCAGCTGTCGGCTGACGCGAGCTGATCCATTTCAGCGCTCTGATGATCGATTGTAGTTGAGAATGTGTTGCTAGGGTGCCGGATCTAGCCTTGCTGCCGGGGTGAGACACGGGCGACGGTAAATCATACCAACCAGCTTGGGTCTGACCGGCGGAATATCCACGTGCGGATGATGGACTGGATTCCCTTGGGCCCCGAGACATGTCGCTCTTAGTCCCCCCCACCAAAGAGGCCAGCCAGAAGATGCCCTTAGTGCCCATAGTGCAATGTCACCAGTTGAGGGCCAGTAGGGAAGTAACGAGGGCTCGTAGTTCCTCTGAACGCGGTTTTTAGAAGGATCTCAAGAGGCCTGCAGAGGCCCTCGACTAAATCACAGGCTGGCATTTTCGCCGCTAGTCCCATGCGGCAAATCCCCTTATTTCGACGGCGCTTGGTGTACTAAGCCAGGCAAGATGCTTTCCCGACTGCCGGAAGCATAGCTTGGTTCACTTGTTTATCCCATCGACTGCTAGATGGCGTCGCTGAAAGCATCTCCAACTTTGCTCTAACTTTGCCCTTATTCGTTTTTTTGTTTTTTTGTTGATTAGTGGTTATAAAGAAAATAGTCATGGATCAACAGATGATTTGCTGCTTCCCCACATAACAACACGCACTTCTGTAGTGATGCCACCTAGCAGTCGATGGGATATGCCAAAGGCTGCCAGCAGCCACTTAGTGACTGCCCAGCCTCTGCTCTCACTATTCACTTCGGATGTTCAAATCACAGCGCTCACAAAATCATTCGAATTGACAATCACTCCAGGCAAGCGACTTCGTGGGGGTACGCCATATAATCAGAAAGCGTATATATTACTGATACTAATTTCACACTTTGATCTGCGTTGATCTGCGTTGACCTGCCGGCCTCAATTACTGTAATATTTCCCGCAGACTCAGCCACAATTTCAGCCGATTGATCATATAATATCGCATGTTAGAGGCGTAAACTTGCTCATGCCGAAGACATGAAACTGTAATGAGCTGAGAGAAAGCTACGGAAACGCCGCGATAGACTTTCCAATTGAGACATTCAATGGTCACTAGGAACCAGATGTCCGTTTGGAGTGTGGACAACGTTCTTCGTGCCATTCCCATCAACGCTGGTGAAGTCCAGTTTCAGAACATCATTATTGAGGCTCTGACGATCGATAATATTTCCAGGGGTGTATTTACCCTCCGTCAGGTAGTACACGACCTTTGGCTGGATCTGATAGGTCTGGTTCGGCTCGGGAACGAAGACTGCCGAAGGTCCGGTGAAGTTGCCCCCAGAGTCAGCGCCGCCGAGACCGATAATCCAGTTATCTGGACAGTATATTAGGGGCTTGAGCAATCTTGTGGACGCAATTAATCTACTTACTACTCTTAGCGGTGGAGACATCGAATCGATCGTCTGTCTTGAACGCAAAAGCTCCGGTTTTGCCAGCGTTGGGAGGCTGATCAGGAGCGAACTCAGGGATTTGGTTCACACTGATCATTAACTGAGTGTCGCCATCAACGGTTTTACCGCTAATATTGTCCATGTGACCCAGTGTAACAGGTCGCTTATCACTGACACTGACAGTGACACCGGACGCCGGGGTGCCATGCGAGTTCCCGAGAACGGCGTAGAATTGCTTGTAGACAGTGAAGACCGTCGGTTGACCTCGGCCCGCAGTGGCACTTGCAAAAACGTTGGACCAGAGTTTGGGCTGAACATTAGCGGTAACCTGTGGGACCTCGGTAAACAAGGTGTAATTGGCAACGCTGCCACTCTGGTTGTTGATATTGATGGTATATGTGTTGACCATTTTGACGGTGTGGCGGAGTTTGGCGAGGTGCGCTAGCTAGTTTGGTGCTGGGAAGAGATTTATCAAGTGGAAGAAGCTGATGGAAGATGATGAGGTGGTTAGTGTGAGGATGTCGAACACCATCGTCAAGGTGATCGAGAACCGGGCTTTTATACTCATTGAAAGACACGGTAAGAATGAAATCCACTCTGGAATGTAGTAGCCTTCCGAAGTGTGTTACCAAGTGACGAAGTCGTAAACTCATGACAAATACAGACAAAAACATTATTTTGAGCTCCTCGAGTGATGGGATTCAAACTCCATCTCAGCTCTTAGGAGACATTCAACTACCTGTCGCGGGTATGGACGAGTGCGTGGCGAGCTGAAGTCTTTCTTGGCGCTCGCGATGATTGACAATTATGTAGAGTATGGTTTCAGTTGAGCCAGCCACATCACACCATAAGGTTTAGCCGTCTTCAGTCAAGCACACGTCGTTAATCGTCGTGGTCGGATGACTTTTCTCACAAACAATGCTGGCGTTCGCGGTGACTGACGATCATGTAGAGCATGGTTCCATTTAGCCAGCCACTTCACACCATTACTTTCGCCGTTTTCAGTCAAGCATACGTCTTGAATCGCTATGGCCGGCTGTTTCTCTTTCGCAAATAGATGACTCTTACTAGATCAATCCCATATAAGACGAAAACCCCGAAGAATATGAACGCCTGGAACCGTAGCATCCCCCTCATGGTTTACTGTATGCACCCTCATGTGCATACACTGTCTTAATGGACCCCAGTACTACCCTCACACCTCTCTCATCGATGCATATGGCTGCAATCGAGGTAGACTCGGCAGCGTATTACACCATCCACATTATAAACAGATCAGGAACCAAATCTACATATGTTCTCTTTCAAGACAGCTTCGATGTCACCCCAAGCCCTCCTGGACCTATTATCTCGGTCATCCTGGGTAGCTATACTGTTGCCCCAGGTGCCACTTTATCCTTGAATATCCCTAACCTACTTGTCGAAGCTGTATGTGGCAATATGGCAGCGGTATCCCGGAATCCTGGTTTCGCATCCCAGGTACTTGCGCAGCCCGTACCAATCACGCCACACGACCTGGCAGCCGGCGGACTCGTTGTGAAAGCAGACTTTGACGACGGATATCCTCATTTCAGCACTGAAAAGCCCTCTCAGGAAGCCAGAGATGCGGCTAAGCCCACTATGTTTGTGTTTCAAACAGCATCAGACTTCAATGACGACCAAGCTGCGGAAGGTACGTCTGTTATATGCTGGCCCTCGAATTGAGAAGACGTTGAACTCATGAAATCCTACAGCCGGCTTCATTATTGGGACTACTATGCAACCGTTGTCGGATAGCATCGGCCCCAGCGTCATGTTTCGCCCCGCTCCAAATAAATCGTATGTTATAAAGCCAAGTTATCGCTTCTATGTGGCGGCTAGTGAAAGAAAGGCCGGAACGTTTGCTACGAAAGACATGAAGTCAGACTCGAATGCTACTTGCAAATTCGAGTTCTCATCGTCTTATCGAAGGGTAAAGATTGTTGAAAATGGTAATAAGAAACTGGAAATTCAGTAAAGCATACAATCCCTTAGCCAGTCATCGGCGAAAGGCCTAGGATAAATATGGTTGTTTAACCTTTTTGGTTGAAGTGTAACCTGATGCGTAAACGAACATGAACGTGAAATAGGGAATCTATTGATCCTGCAGTAGATGCATGTAAGCGATTGACGTTTTTCCCGTGTGAGACAATCCTGGCCAGAATGTGAGCGTGCTTGACTGTGTAATGACTGTATGCGCTGAGTTTCCCCTCAGCGACGAGATCCACTAGTTTTGACGATTCCTTACCTACCTATGCAACGCCAAGCCGTGAAGGAGCAGAATGCGGAAGCTAAATTAGGGTGCGGAGACCGTGACACTGTCTTACTTTCTTAAGTCTATCTCCTGAGTAACCGAGACATGGACATTCTATTTTCCATCAGACAGCCAGTGAGAGACAGGCTCGTTATCCTCAATTAATCAGTCAAAAGCCATAGAAAAGAGAGGTGATAGAGCCCTCGTGAGCCATTCAAAGGTCAAAAACATACTAAAGAAGTTGTCTTCTAGCGACTCAGATGGGACGATTGTGTTATTTGAAATTGAGACATCTCACATCTTCAAATGACAACACCCCTTCTCCTTTCCCTCTTTTGACTTTCCAACCTTGACGTCCCTTTCGGCTAAGTTCAGTCATCCCCATACTGCACCCAACCTTTCCGTCAAGGTTCCCAAGAACCTCGTGAGAATGTTCGCCAAATCTATAAAGGCCTGCGTTCCTCGCCAAAACGAAGCGAATCGTGGCCAGCTCTTTCCAAAGCATCACTTACTTGAACTCTTCTCTTGAACAACACACAGTCTAGTACCGCTGCGCAAACCTTCACCATGAAGACTGAAAGTCCGACTACGGCACGCTTAAGACATCGCAAGGACTGGCCTTCATGGCTGATACAGCTAAAATTCCAGGCCTATCAACACAACATCTGGGAATACATCGACCCCTCGGCACCACCCAACGCCTCGGATCCCGCACAGCGGATCCTCCACATCCCAAAGATTGATGAGCTGATTTCGTGGCGACAGGTTCAACTCAAAGAGCAGTATTCCCGAGAGTTACGAGCGGCCTATTCGGCAAGGGCGGGCGGGTCTCCTCAGCAGCCCCTGCCGCCTGCGCCAGCGGCAGTCACCCTCGACGACATTCGTGAGGAGTTTAAAACACGTCTTGCAGAGTACTATGAAGGTGTGGTCGAGCGCGACGATATCAGAAAGGAGTACCGAACCGTGTGGAACTGGGTCCATGCAACAGTCGACGCGAGCGTGCTGTCCGCCGCGCGGGCGACTGCTGCTGCGGAGGACGACTGTAGCCTGCGAGGTGTCGTGCGGGCCCTGCGAGGCCGATTTGGTCCCGCGAGGGATAGGGAAGGAAGCGTGGTACGGCGATTGTTTCTGGGCCGCGTTTTGGTCCGGAGGGCTCTTGAGAGGGTGAAGGCGCTTGCGAAGGATCCAGCTCACGGGGTTCAACCGCAGACATGCACGGTACCGAGTTTCTTGAAGCTTCCGAATGAGATGCTGTACCACATCATCAGCTTTCTTGAACTGCACGACCAGTTCATTTTGCGTCAAACCTGCAAAGACATGCAAATCCTCCTCCAGAAAGACTGGAGGCTGCTGTTCACTCGCCTTGCCGTCAGTCAAAAACTAGACTTTTTGGCTGGTTTGGCATTCACCTCACCCAACCACTGGGTCTGCGGAGGCTGCCACCTGCTCCATCGCATCGACACGAACGACATGCCTTGGCATCTGCTGCGTACTTGCCCATATGACACAAACAGAGCATGTTTCTTATCCCGTTTCGACATTCGAGAGAGCCATGTTCAACTCGCACTCAAGCTCATGCGACTCGAAACAGCCGCCAACCAGGAGTATTTGAAGAAGATCATGTCACCGTTTACCTTCGAGTATGCCCCTTCTCCAGGTCAAAAGACCAAGACTTCTTTTCACGCCGCGCCAAAAGTTATAGCCGATAGGTTCATACTATATACTCAGCGGGCACTGAGTTATCAGCAGGGCCTTGGAGTTTGGCAAGTTTCAGAGAGAATCTGTCGGCACATCGGTGGATCTGAATCTTGGGGTGGTCCCCCAAAGGAACTTGGCAACGCCGTCAGACTGGCAGTCAATCAGCCGGGAATCGAAGTGAATGGCCATTGTTCACGCTGTCTAATAGACTATTCAATCATACTTGGTCCCGGGCCCGACAGATTCACCATCCATGCTTGGTATGACTACGGTTCCTACAAGTCCCCCAATGACAAGTCTTGGACTGCACCCGTTTATGATACCAGCAACACGTATTCGCCAGGTCCTAAGGTGTATCCTGACTCTGGCAGCATTCGGATGCTGTACGCAACGGGCACCACACTTGGCAACGTCAGGTGATTGAATTGACGACCTACAAACAGGACTCTCTCTTTATAGTCTAGATCGGAAGAGGTTCACTCAAAGCACTGTCCATGAAAGGATTACAGGCTCAGGGTGTATTGGTAGCTCTGGGTGAACTAAGGTAGCTTGTAGTTCTTCTTTAAGTACATGTACAAGCCCTTCTCACCATCCTCTTGTTCTAATACTACACTTAGTGACCAACAAACTCTCTGTCCCATTGACTCCATGTCTTCCTTGTTAAACAACCTTCAGAAAGCCCAGAGCACTCGTCTGCCCGTCCAAATGCAAATCAATACCCGCAGACCAAAGAAGTCCTGTTCCACAAGTGCTTCTCTTGAGACCTTCTTGCGTATCTCTAGGCTGGTTAGTGCTGGTGATACTCTCTCCATTGTACTCAATCGCTCTGATCAACGCAGCCCGGGCAAGTCGAGATCATCCAAGCTCCGAAGATAGGGATAAGGATCCTCAGCGGAGAAGGCGGCATCATATGCGGCGAAAAAGTTATCAAAGTAACTTCCAGTGTATCTGACTTGCACTGGTTCCTCGCCGTCGTCCTCATCACCATCATCGTTATCATCAGAGGGGTTGATATGCTGAGCAGTTCGAGTCGATGCCGGAAAGCTATTTCCAGAAGGAAGACCATATAGGGAGGGAGTCGTTCTGTGCATGGCGTGCGTGATAGAGAAGCTGCGATTGATGACTTCGTCGGGTTCTGTAAAGAAGAGAGCCTCATCATCAACCTCTTCCTTGACCTCATCATCGACCTCTTCCTTGAACTCATCGTCGACCTCATCATCGACCTCTTCCTTGATCTGCTTCTCACTTTCCTCCTCGTCCTCTTGCTCAGTCTTGAGGCCTCTAGGCGATATATGAAGAGGAGAGACTCGGCAGGAAGCTCGGCGACGCTTTCTAGGCCGCAGGGAGACATCTTCATCCTCTTCATCATGGTCCTCACCCTGTCTGTGCTGGTGGACCTGGGCGCGAGTGCGGTCCTGAACCGCATTGTTCTGTTGAACAATGCCGCCCACCTCGGAAGGTCCAGCTTGTGCAGCAGCGGCATTGTTGGTAGTTCCAGCTCGGAGATCGTTGTTCTCATTCTCCTTTATTTATCATTAGCAGCGGCATCACGCGTGAATATGGTAGTAATGGAAGGTGGTGAGGCTTGGTGAGGTGATATGAGATGAGATGGCTTACCTTGGTGATGAGATAGATGATTTTAACCTGACTTCCCTCAGGAACCGAGTCGAGAACCATCTTTTGCATCGAAGCAAGCTTGGGATCGCCAAGGCGGCCGGAGACGCCAGCAATGCTAGTGCCGGGGACAATGTCTTCATTGCCAAAGACGCATTGGGTCTGGGAGGGGCCCTCGGTGAGCCTCTTTGCCATCTTGGCAGTCTCATCAATGAGATTCTCGTTGCCGTCCTGCTGTTGATGGGCGCGAGGGTGAGCGCGAAGCTGAGGCGGATCGATTGGGGTCGCAAATGCCCCGGTGGCATTGCGCTTGGGGATGCTGTGGGAGCTCATCTTCGCAGTGAGATGACGGACGATGAAAGATGAGCAGGTAAGGATGGCTGAAGAGGCGATCGAGTTGCGATGATGTGTGTTCCGGCGGCGCTCGGTCGGGAAGGAAGAAGCTGTCGAGGGATGAGTCGCAAGGGACACAATGAATAGGAGAGTGGAATTTGGAAAGGAGGAAAGAAGCCTTCATGGGCCCGAGATTAAGAGGGGAAGAAACGCGGTGGTTGTTTGGGAGTCTTGATTAGGGCGGGTGAATGAGGGAGGTAGAAAGCCTGTGAATGGAAGAAGGCAAGTGTGGGCGCGGTCCAGCGTGAAGAGGTGAAGTATTGAGAAGACCTTTGCAACGCCTGGGGCGAGGAAAAACAACAGACGCGTCTGATTCACAGTGTCGACCAAACAAGTCTCGTGGGCTAGAGGGCTTCCTTCACCTTCGAGTTCCTATGAATGTGGAGACGATGCTGTGGATGAGTGTGTATGTGAACTACCTACTGAATAAACTCACGTGAGCTGAATACAGATGATTTGAGCCCGTTGTTCTGACCTGGGACGCCTGTCATATTCTGCCACTCGGAGGGATCTCTCTTCTCGACCGACTTCGCGTGATAGCCTAATATTGAACAACAGAGCTACACTCCTAAGAACCATCCTAAAACTCCGAAGTCCCATGGCTGTGTTTACATGTCGAAGTTTATGTCGAAGTTTGGATGTGAGGAAATTTGATTCCAGAGAAGAACGAAGTTTTTACTCGTAGAGGACCGTGTCTCGATGCTGGTCTGCTTCCAGGAACATCAGCCAAACCTGAAGCCAGGAAAATGATGAAGGACGACATGGCATCTGTGAAGTTGAAGAGGGGAGGAAACGGACGTCAGCTTGGGGGCAGGTAGAGTACTTTTATCTCTCCTAAGGGAGAAGACCAAGCACCTTATTCTTGCATCTTGTTCTCCAAGACAACGTTGAAGCAGCAGCTTCTCCTGTAAGCTGAATCACCAAAGGCAAGCACTCCCATCGCCATCCCGCTTGGGGATTGGGCAAAATAGGCGTACCTACTGATTGGAGAGGCAAACAGGTATGGAGGGAAGGCACCACAAGACCTGTTGCCAAGCGTTCTCCGAGGCGGAATCTGCATTCTCTGAAGATTGGACTCTGGATATGGGAAGGAGGTAAGTAGCCCAGGTAGGCTAGCTGCGTCATATTATTCAGGAATGGGAACCGTGACCTTATGAACCCGTGGTGAGATGGAAACCATGGGTCACGGCCTGCAAGAACCGTTGATCTCAAATGCGCTGGGCAGGTGACACTCTTCATCTGAACAACACTGGAACTGTTGAGATGATACACGGTAAAGATCACAAGGAAGAGACACAACGTTAGAATCAGATCATTTCATTTCCGCTACTAAAAGATTGGGGTATCTCGTGCCATGCAAAACGCTTCAAGGACAGTCCAGACATCCAACATGATTCATCATGCCGTACTCTCGTTACCAATTTCCTCCTCTCCTGTTGGGCCTCGAGCCACCACGCTTCCCATCCTCTGTCTCTCTCATTTCGTTCCTTGCCATGATACCACGTCCCAAAACCCAACGCTCCGATTGAGCGAGAAAGAAAGAGAGACAACCCAAAAGAGAAGCGCAACGGCCCAGCCATCACATTATTCATACCCATACTGTGTTCCAAGTTTAGTCCAGTCCAGCTTTCCTTGCTAATCCGCTCCCAAAGAGTGTCCTATCGCTGATGAGGTTGTAGAAAGAGAATATTAATATCGCGCCATTTGCTTTTGTGGTGAAAGTGATGGATGAGAGAAGAGAAAGAGGCGTTTCCGCCATGGCACAGCCAGTCGACAAATACAGGACCACGGATTTCAAGACCCAATACTATGTGTTACATACTTCGCCAGTGATGGCTTGCGTATAGATGGTAAAGAAATATGATAGTAAGGGATGATGAAAGGACTATCCATGCCCACTCAGCCAAGGATGAATGGGTTAGCTGAGCCCTCTCGCAAACGCCGTGCTGTGTTCACCGGCTGCTCTGCTTCGTTGTATAAAAGGGGGGAAGACTCCGCCACTGTGGGGTAGAGTCGATCATGGGCTCGCGCCCTCTTGGATCTTGTGATGCTTCCTCTTCCGTTCCGAATCTTCCATAATGATGCCCTTGTAATAGAGATACGTTGGAATGGGTCATGTGCGTTGTGGTAGGAAATGAGGATAGTAAGGAAACCAGGCTGAAGCAAACAAGGAATGAAGAGACTTGAAAGACTCAGATACTTGCGGTTCGCGCCCTATCCGGTACACGTGCGTAGCAAACCATGAGCTTGAAGCTTGTTCGCAGCTCCTCGCACTCAGAAAGCAAAGCACGATCAGACCAGATGCTCTTGCTGATGGTCCCAGCTGCACTCTCATAGCAGCGGCTGTACCACCATCGGCCCACCTTGGCCACCATCTTGGTGATATTCTCATCGGCGGAATCGCCGTCCTCGTTCATCATCTCGGCAAGGCTGCGAACTTCCTTAGCCTTCCGGGCGCCAGCGACGGGTGGCTTCTTGCTGCCGCTCTCCGACCGAGTCACCACGCTCGCCACTGGCACGCCGACGCGGCAGTTCTTGACATCGGAAAATCCCTTGCGCCCGAGGAGGCGCAGAATGAGGTCGGAGGACGAGCCAATGCTGACTTCCGAGTTGTTCACATGGATGCGTTCTTTCAGTCGGCGGACAGTACGCCTACCTCGGTTGCCCATGTTGTTAAGATCAACGTCAAGGATCGAGAGCTCCAGGTAGCCACCCGGCTTGAGAACTCGACGTGCTTCCGAAACAATGTTCCGATAGTGAGACTCAGGCGCGGCTGCAGGGAAGCGGAAGACCACCGAGGTGAAGCTCTCTGCGCCAAAGGGGAACTTGTCCATCTGAGAGAGGTACTGAATCTGATGGTGGTTTGGCGGGCTCAATGGGAAGCTTGACGAGTTCTTATGCTCCTCTGGCAACGGCGCGCGGGGTGACAGGTTGAAGAAGGTAGCAGCAGGGTATGTCTCTGCCGCGTAGAACGACCAGTCATCGTTACCAAGGCCATCGACAACGAGAATGGAGTGACGCTTCAGCGAGCCGACAACGTCCAGAAGCTGGTCCCGGGCTGGGCTGAAGAGCACATGACCAAAAGACAACCACTTGCTGACCGTCATCGAACCGACACGAAGGTTGACTTGAGAGAGCGGCGACTCATCCTCGGAAGACTTGCAGCTGCAGTCGGACTGTCTTGATCTGCGAGACGAGCTGCTACTTCTCTGAGACGCGGCCGTCGCCTTACGTGCTAGCTCAGTGCTCTCGCGGTCAATGACTCTAGCAGGGATCTCGCCAACAGGTACAAGGATTTCTCCCTCAGGCTTCAACGCAAAGGCAGCCTTGAGACGCTCGGTCATATCGGCGGAATAGACACTAGACGTTGTACCGCCCGCTTCGACCTCGACGTTCTTCTCCAGAGTCTTTGATGGCGGCGCAATGGTAGGAGATTCGAGAGGCTTCAAAGACCTCTTTGACATTCGCGAGCCGTGGGTCTCGAGATGGAACGGGGCGCCCTTTGATGATGTCGCAGATGGCGGTACGTCGCCGATTAGATCGTTGTACTCATCCCAAATCTCGTCCTCAACAAGAGGTGCATTCGGATCGGGCACATAAGCCATGGCATCTGCGAGTGTGTACATGCCCAAACTGCTGGAATCAGTGCTTGTGGTGCACTCAGAGTTCTTTCGAGGGGAAAATGCCAGAAACTCTCTACCGATTTGAATCATCTCAGGCGTCTTGACGGGAACAAGAGAAGAGCGAGGGTCCGAGTTGGTCTTGTCGCTAGTCGCCGTAGATTCTCCACGAGACAGTTCGGGCGTGGATAGCTCTGGGGTTGGGGTCGCACCCGAAGCAACGAAATCCGGGTTGAAGCTTGCGGCTTGCGGCGGTATCTGCATGCTGATTCTGTTGAAAGGACGAGAGAAGCTTCTCGACGAGGTGTGCTCTGGACGAGAGGTCACGACCTTGGGAATCCGGCCAACTTGAGGCAGGCGACTTGGGCGTGGTTCAGCTGGCTTCGAAACACTAGACTGAGGTGTGTGGGTAGGCTTCATGGACCGAATCGCTGGGATTGAAGTTGACTTTGCGGTCGCCGAGTTTCTCCGAGCTTGCGATGACTTGGTTGGCTGTAAAAGCCTGCTCAAGGACTCTCTCCTGTTGGTCTGACTTGCAGAGGATGTTCGTCTTTCTTTTAGAACAGGCGGAGGGGATGGAAGATCAAAGACTTCAGCCTCGCGAAGAATCTCCTCGACGTCTGGAGTACCAATGTCTTCCTGCTCGGAACCGTCCATCAGAGTGTAGAAGGCAGCTGGCTTGTGCTGTACTACTTTCACGGTTGCAGCCACTGGCACCGCATCCTTCTCTGACTTCTTGGTGTTCGGCTGGCTCTGGGATCGGCTGAAGAGATTCCACTTCCTTGGAGAGCGTGTACGCTTGGTGAGCTTCTTCGGTGTTGTCGCAGTGGCTGCGGCAATGCGGCCACGAATGACCTCTCTATGCATTTCGAATTGCGAATCATCCGTAAGAATGCTTGTATCATGGCTGTTAATCGACGGCGACGTGATCCCAGTGGTGTTGATGGGCTGAGGGAGCTTCAGTGGACTCTGGTCCGGAGACGAACGCAAGCGCTGAACGGATCGCCTGAACGCTAGCGTGGGCTTCATAGTCACTGCCTCGGAATCGCTACTGTCGGAGGGACGGCGACGACTGAGGGAGGGATGAGGACCACCTCGAGGAATGGCTGATGGGGCTAGGCTTCGCCCAATACTGGAAGTTGTGGACACCTCAGAGGCGTATCCAAGGCTCTGATAGCTCTCTGAACGGACCAAGTCTACGCTATTATTTCTGTTGTCGACGAGTCCTCCGCCGGAAATGATGACTGGGTTCATCCGCTCCAGGAGGAAAGGGTCAGTTGGCTGGTTGCTGCTGAGGCTGTCTTGAGAGGAACCGGGTCCTAGACTAGGGCGGGCCAAGTTGGTCGATGAACTTCCACTTCGTCTTCGGAGACCACCCAGGCGTCCGTAACCTTCATGCCCAGTGCCGGCGGCTGGCCCCTTACGAGCCGGTTTGTCCTTCTTGTCGACTTGAGGAACCTCCGGCGCTGTTTTGGACCGCCGCCCAAAGAAGGGAAACCGAGAAAAGGTCGATGTACCGGGGCTCGGGGTACGAGTGACGGTTCTGTCGTTCTTCTTCTTCGTGTCCATCGCATTTGCTGAGCGCGGAGCCGGTGTAGCCTCCCTGCCAACCGGCAAACGGGAGGTTTGCTGAGGGTTGTCTGGGTATGATAGGGGAGTCGTTGATCGCGACAATGGCTGCAGCTCCGGTCCACGTTTGTCGCCTAACAAGGAAGATGAGGATAGATTGCTGTGGATGATGGGCAAGGGACCAAACAGCTGGGATTGCAGGTCCGGGGTGTTGTCTCGGCTGGGACGAGCAGGGGGGGTTGCCCTGGGTGAAGCAGCTGGTGTCCGTCGTGGGGGAGATTGAACGGGTGACGGGGCTGCCATGACTGGCACAGCCGGCTCTCGTGAGGCCTTGAATGGAGACTCGTCATTGTCTTGATCCTTGGTAAACTTCTGGGACGACTTCCGTGGCGGTGGGCTAGGAGGTAGAGGCGACAACCTCTTCTTCTTTTTGGACTCTTTGCGGTCTCCTTCTCGAACTGTCGAGTTTGACGATGACGATGTCAAAGACTCGCGTACCGCGGCAAGCCCTTGGGGGTCGGCGCTAAACGCTTCCATCTCATTCGGTATGCTGCCGGCTCTTCTCCGGGCGACTGGTGGCCGTGTTACTGCCGGACTCACTTGCCTCACTCTGGGCACAGGAAGTCGCATCGGAACCACCAGTCCTGGCGATTGTGACGACATGGAGGTGGGAGTGGTATCACGGCTGTATGGACCCGGGCTAGTTGACTCAGAGAATCTAGTGGAAGGGCTGCCACTGAAAGCACTCAACTGGCTGCTGGTGCCGGAGAAGACGGGAGTCGGGGGTGGGAGGTCGTGCGTAGCCAGCCTGTGGAGGAAATCAACGCTAGATCCCTCGGAAGACGTGGAGGGTCGTCCATAGATCTCTCTATATCGATCAAGCTCGGGATAAATCGTTACAGGTTGCGCTTGGGTCTTGGGCAGATCGATAACGTGTGCAATGCGAATCTCGGTTGGGCTCTCGGTCATGCCGCGGTCAAGGTGATAGGGGGCGGGTTCCAGAGAAGCCCGGGATCGTGGTGCTGAAGAAGATGAGCTTCCTCGAGTTGAATCGGTGTTGTTCGAATCGTGGCGTAGGCTTGGTGTCTTTGGGGTGACAGACGACTGCTTTCTCCGCAGTACGTTGCGTTTCGGCTTGGCAACGCTCGACTGAGACTGGCCAGATGTCGATGAGCCAGACATGATGGGAGCATGGCTGGGTCTTTCGGCAGCCGTGCTGTTGGAACTCCATGACTGCGTCTGATGGGTTAAAGGTGGCCGGGTAGAAGGCATCGGAATAGATGGTCGCCGCGAGGAGGCCGTCGAGGGCATCGGCGCAGGTTTGGTCTGCACCGGTTGTTGAATGGCGATCCGGATGTTTTCTCCTTCTCTGCGGATCCTCCGAGGGGTGCTCTGCAAATCCTCGCTCTGTTCGATGTATCCGGCGGCAGCGGCTCTTCTCGCTCGTATCTGTTCATCTGGGCGGCTCGGCAAGCCTAAAGCCGCGCGGCGGGTTGCCATGATATCCCGGTTTTGAGAGAAAACCTCTGGGCCTGTCCACCATAATCCAGCAACCTTACTATCTCATGTCTTTGCCACAATTATGTCTACAAGTCTGGCTTGAAGTCAGCTATGGGGCTCTCAGAGGCAAAGAGGCGGCGGCGAGAGTAACCTGTTGATTGAACCTCGGTCAAAATTCAATGTTGATCCGACGTGGTGTTTCCCGGAGACTAATGCTGTACGACAGGTCAGAACGAAGTTCGCAGGCCAGAGAACGAATACTGGTTTCGGACGCGGTCGACTAACAGAAAGATAGAGATACAGATGATGGTCCCAGAGGGATGGTTTCCTTGATCTGGGACTTCAGATTGGGCCTGGCCAAGAACTACAGGGAAGTGTTATATGGGAAAGATGGATGATTAAGGGCGGCACAGCAGATGTGAAGTTGTGATTCTCTCGAAAGGTCGTAACCAGAAGTGAGGAGAGAGAAGAAAAAAATTGTTTACAAGGAAGGCTGGCGCGGAAGAAGGGGGATGGCTTCCGGGTTGTGATAGTGAGGGTGTGAAGTGGTGGGGTGGTGCGAGGTTGCGCGGCTGCCGTGGGAGAGCCGATTCGGTCGGGATGGTTGTGGTGGTGGTGGAGGGGTTCAGAGGGGTCTCAAAGATGGTGGGGGAAAAGGCCGCGCCTAGAGTCTAGACAGGCAGACAGAGAGGCAGATAGATAGTACCTTGGCGCCGCTGAGAAGAGATGAGCCAGCCCTCTTCTTGTGACAGAAGGATGACGGTGACAAGAGAGGTCGAAAGTGATCTGTCGTTTCGTGGCAAGACAGTCAAGCCAGACCGTGTTGCGCCGGTTTGCTGAGTGGTAGTTTTCGTCGAGATAAGTTGTGCGTCGAGATGCGGAGATGGATGAGTGAGAATGAGGGTGGGCGGACAGGAATATGGAGATGGGAGACGACGGGTAGATAGATCTAAGGTGAAGCAGCGTGGCAAGAGGGCTTGACAAGGAACAAGGAGCACTGGGATGAGGCAAAAATAAGAAAAGAAAGAGAGATGGAAGCTACAGCTACGTAGCAATAAGGTAGGTAGCCAAGGCGAAGCCAAAAGAAGGCAACATCGGATTGTATATACGTCGGGGTAGGCACTCACCACTTCAGGGCATGCCATCTACCTCTCGCAAAGTACCTTCATCCAGGTAAAGTATCTTGCACTTTGCTTGTTGCTTTCCAGGCTACTGGAACAACGTGAATGGACAACGGCGGCCGGGTCGAGCGAGCAGGGGTATGACTAGCAGCAAGAGTGCAGACGGCGGGACAGGAGCAGTGCTTTCTGCACGATATACCGGGATGGGAATGCGAGGCACACACGCACACCAAGGGGGGGGGGGGGGTGGTCTGGGGTGGAACCCAATGGAAGTACCCAACCAAAGATAGGTACCTTTTCTTGGGGCGTGTGAGTGTACGTACTACGAAAAGTATCCCATCTCTCGCATCGCTGCATCTGCATCCATCTAGGTATCTGTGCGAATAGATGAGATGTTGGATGCTAGTTTCTTCTTCGTCTTTACCTACGTATGGCTCCAAGACCCTTGTCTTTGAAATATCGGGCTGGCTGTGCTCTCGCAATACCTATGTCGGGGTGTGCAATACCTACGCAGGCCACACTTACATACTACATTTCTCCTACGCCATGGTCTTGCGGCGGTCAAGAATTGCGCATCATGGGCTCAAGTCAGGTGAGCTGCTGCAACCGCCGAGCACGGCGCTTCGGGATTGGGCAGCCATTGACAGGGAGCGCGCGCAGGAGGGAGCAGATCATACAGCAATTTAGGCCAATTGCTATGTTGACTCATCCTGACAGATGGAGGAAACGCAAAGAGAAACTACAAGAGCCCCCGGCACGCCTGGAAAAGACGGAAAGGGGGAGCTGGGTGAACATCAATATGCGAACTCCTATCGCGGTGGAAACAACCTGAGGAGTGTGCAGATGCGTTGCATAGGGGGGGCTCCGGGCTCCGCTGGGGAGTATTTCAAGACACCTTAGAGAAGGATACGGATACAGATGGGACTCGAAGTGCGAAAGAGGGGCTAGAGACTTTGGCTAGGAGCCAAGACGAGAGGGTAAAATGCTGAGAAAGGCACGCAAGACGATGAGAGGCCGATGTGTACAGGGTACGGAGAGTAGGTGGAGGGGCCAAGACTCAAAAATGGCAAAATGGTCGTGAAAGAGATACCTTAGCTGGGTCGCCTACCTATTACCCGTTACTACCTGATGGGCCAGAAATGACGAGGAAAAAATAGTAGTACGTCGGGGACTCGAGAGACGCCTGGCATCAACAGCCATGAGATGAGGCGCGAAGCTGGCTACTAGGTACTGCGTACTCCGTACGGCAACTGCGCCGCCATGCGGGTAGCTTTTTTCGCCCTGGACTCTGCATACACGGCTCGTCCTATGGCAACAGCAAAGAGCCTTGACTAGGCCACTCGACGTTGTCATTGGGCCGCAAACCCTTGTCGTGCCCTTGTCCGCTTTCGGGGTCCTTTGCATCGTCTGGGATTCTGGGATGCTGGTCCTTTTGCCCTTTGGGGAGGGGGGGAAGAAGACTGGAGAGGGGCTCCAAGGGGGGAAACAGACTTTTGCCGGCACGTCGAATTCGATCTTGATGCTGTTTTTGAAAACCGAGAGGAATATCATCGTTGAAGTGCCGTCATGGGAAGAACCGGAAACCGAACGTGTGACTCAAAATTAGGCGAGCAGGATGGCTGTGCTTACCGCCAGTTGGCATGCGCTACTCGGTACCTTACCCCACGAGCTCACCGACGGCGAGGGCGGTAGTGTGCACGTTACGGTGTAGTGTAGTTTCGTTTGGGTTGGAGGGCACGGGACTCGGGGCGGGAATAAGTCTCGAGTCTCGGCGACACTTACGCAGTACACTGGACGAGCTTGAGTTGAGAAGTTGAGATGGCGGGGAGGCAAACGCCCAAAGCTGGCGGCTGGGAATGCCCTTGGAGCGACAGCGACCGAGGGCACACGGGGGATGGCCCGCCCCGCCATGAACGAGTGAGAAAGATCAGAGGACGAGACCGGACAGGAGTGTACCGTAGAAAAGTCAGGCCTGGTCGTATGAGTAAGAAGGCAAAAGTAATAAGTTTGCTGTTATCGACGGAGAAAGGCAGGGGTGACGCTGGATGTCACTGTCGAATGAATTGCGGCGCACAGAGACTGGTCGTGTTTGGTTGACAATTTCACGTTGCGAATGAGAAACAGCGATGGCGGGTGGACATTGACCCGGGGTCGATGAGAAAACGGGACAATGACCGCGAGTGGTTAGAGGGCCAAATGATGTTACAAGATATGGTACCGGTAAGTGCCTTCCCTCACAGAAAAACCTCAGATTTGAGAGTTGGTTTGTTGGAAGGAACGGTGGAGGGAATGGAAGGAGACACCCCGTGACCCGACAATGGGAGGGAAAGAAGCGACTTGGACGGGAAGCATCGATGGCGACCGAAGACGAAGAAGGAGCACTGGCTGGAGCAGCAGGAAGGACCAGGGAGCAGACAGACGGCCTAGAAAGTGGGTCTTGAATGCACCTGCCCCAATCTGGATCTAGCGCAGCGGCTGTCGATACGTACTTGCGGGTCAAGACGGCTCAGCTTAGTTGGAACGTGCACCTCAGTCACTCAGTGGTCCGTGTCACTGGTCAGTGTGGCCCGTGGAGTGAGGCGGGGCCAACGGTCGCCTCTCGATCCATGTCTTTTTCTTTTCTTCTTCTCGACCTTGACTCTCCTCCACCACGTTTTCTTGCCATGCCTTTTGTGCTTTCTAGCCCAAAACGCTCAGACTGCCTACACACAGAGCGATAGCCATACATTACACATTACGGTACCAACGCTTCACATTATCCACTCAGTCCCAGCCCTAGGCCCCCCATAGCCTCTCGACACCTGGTCATTTCTAACTCTATGGAACAATACGATCCACTTTGCCCACTCGAAAAGTGCCGGATGGGAGCCCTCACACGTTCAACCAGGTCTCGTTATGGCTTCGTATCTGCCTCTCGACAAAGTACCTGCCTCTGTTCTATCCTGCCTTTCCCCTGCGTCTCTCTCCACCGTGTCTAAAGACTATCACCGTCCAACCGCCTGCTACCGAGCAAGACAATTCAGAACCGCTTGATTCACCAGCGTCGTCAACTGTCGTCAACATGTCATCCATCAATGATCCACTGCATGTCTCACTTTCACGCTGTCCGAGAGGACAGGTTTCTGCATGTCTCGCTCTCGTGCCACCCTCCCTGTTGATCGCCCACGCTACCGCTGCGCTTGTCACATACGCCCCACCCTTCCTCCAATGCCCGGCGCTTGTTTGGCGACATCTCCAGATTGCCTCGGCGCTTCATCCTTGATGACCATGAGCTTTCTTCGGCTAGAATTCCCTCGACCCTCGAGATGGTGTGGACGGCTCGGGCGGGCACAAGCCTCGAAAGAGACACAGGCCAAGCTCACAATCGTACCGAGAGACTATCATCGACTTTTCATGCCATCTATCATCTATCAACAAACATACTCTGCCCCTAATCACAGAGAATGTTACTGAACCGGCTTGATGGGCATTACGGCACCACGTTGATTTGCTCTCAACTCTCCGGGCCTACTCCTCGCGAAAACCAACAGGGAAACATCGGTTGGAACGCTCAGTCCTCAAAGCAACTCGATCGAGACGCTCGCAGGAGGATCGACGCAGGACCCCGCGGCGAGGTAGTAGCAAACTTCCACTGGACGCCATACATGGCCATGATAGATGACTGCAGCGAAAAGCCTCAACGACGCGTCGTCGAACCAACGACCAGGAAGCGCCACCAACAATCAGACGCGCTTTCACGTCTGTTCGTAAGTCGAGTTAGGATTCATTGAGGGTGTCGTCAAACTTGGTGAACCGGACCCTCGGCCTACTAAGCTAATAGGAGATGGATGGTACGGCACACCCTCGAAGCCTCCTTTATCCAAGATAGTCCCAAAAGATCCGGGCAAGGTGGACCGACGGATTCGAAGTATTCTCCCAATTGTTATATTCTCCGGCACAACAGGCAATGATACGCTCACCAGTGGCCCGCCGTCCTTGCAATCTCACCCACGACCCGGTCGTCTGATACGGCCCGTTGCCCGCAGAGTCAGCTTCACAGCCTGCCTATCCGTGGGGTGACTTGGGGGTGAGAGTCGGCTCGATACGGCAGTCTGGTGATGGAAGACATTTGGAAGTCTTCCATTCGCAGACAGTGCAACGCTCCAACCCATCTTCAAGGCCCTTGTTCCAAGGCAAACTAGAGTTTGATATTGTCTCATTCAAAGCCCAGATCCGCTCGAGCAACGACCATCGCCCCCGTCGGCCGCGTATAGCATCCAACCACTATTGGAAGAGGAGTATTGCTATTCTCCTCGTCCGGGGTCTGGAGCATTCTCAATTGTATGATTGGCTCTATTCGAAATGGACTTCTGGGCAGGAAGGGGCGCGATCCCTCTCCCCGTCCTTCATTGGCCTTTTAATGGACAATTTGGGCCAATCACCTGGCTGACCCATCACAATCTCCCACCACCAAAACTTTGGTCCCTGAAGGTCCATTCCCCCCTCATGCATGTCTCTCCTTACCCGCATCTCCCGGAAACGGTCCATCACCAATCGTCTACTTTGACTCCACGACCGAATGTCTCTTTCAAGATGATTATGCTGAAAAGAGATGATACTGGCGTCATGAGTCTTAGTCAGAGATGATATCTCATCTTGACTTTTAGGCCGGCCCCGAACGTTTCCCCCGCAACGGGCTGCCAATGTCTCGGAGCCTACGCTTGCAAGGAAAATGACAACTCCTGTCGCACACATTGACGAGTACGGCGCGGACAATGGGCAGCATAAACAATTATGATGTCCAAAAGAAACGTCAACAAGTGATACTCGACGAGCTTACCATCAAAATCCGCATGTCGCCAGGCCAGCAATCGGCTTCTGACCAACATTGGGTGCATGATTTGCGGCATGCAGGATACGACGAGAATAGCAACATGGCCTTCTCCCCCATGGCCTAGAGGCTAGGTTGACCCCTCAACCGATAACCAAAGCGGCGCGGTATCTGGGCGATACAATCGGCCAGCCAAATCAAACGCGGCATCGAAGGCTCTCTACGAGTACTGGTCGACTGGGATCACGGGATTTGCAGCTCAAGGAGCCATGATCCTTCAGGCAACATGCTCAGTAACGACAAGCGCAAATGGAGACACAGCGGCCATACCAGAGCAGCTGAAACCTGCAGCTCGACTGTGGCGACTATTATGCGCTGGCCGCGTCTAAACTGGACTGAACCAAGGCCTGGTATCCGTAAATGGGTTGCGATTGCGGCTGCGTCGTATGCCGCAAGGTCAAGGCCAAGTTGCTGCCGAAGCGAGACGGCGGCCCTGCCAGAGGTGCAGGAGCAATTCCGCAACGGCGTCTTTGGTGGCGCTGAAAGGTACTGTGGTGAGGCAACCAGCCCGCAAACGAGCATGCAAAACCTGCAAAACCTGCACTCCGCCACACGCCTCATCCGGATCCCATGCCATCACTGGGTCGTGAGGCTGGTGACGTGGCACTCGAGTCCGGCGAAGCGGGTCTCGGGTGGCTCAGTGCCAACGGAGCGCGGCTTTCGGCTGCAATTTATGAGTCTGTGCCACTCACACATACCCTTGCACCCGTTTGCTTCTGTGGCTTGTTCCCGGTCTTGGGGAATCGCAGATCTCTGGGTTTTGCACGGTCGCGAGCCCACAACCATCGCCATGTCACCGGTACTTGCGGCGGTGAAGCCAGGATCGTCTCGCTGACTCCGAAGACAACGCAGCATCTGGATGTTCAATGTTCCAACAAAATAAATCCACCATATTGACACGGATATCGAGTCACAAGTCGACGGTCTCTAGGAGCGAGCCCGAGCAATGATGAAGTCACCCGGGGTCTTCGCTCGCTTCCAGGACTGGAACCAACGACGAGCCCACCAGTGGCCCCTGTTCCCTCTCCAATCGTAGCCGCCAAAGATCCCGCGACCAGGGGCCTATTCAAGTAGACAGGGGTTTCGGCATTTCCATTGGCTTGGGTCCGATGAGACAGCAGGGGTGCGCAGACTGCACTCTGAGTCTAGTGAGTAACGTGATGAAGGCTAGGTGCGAGCGCCCACAGCTTCCACACTCCTTCACGTCCGTCACGGCGGTTGTTGGAGGAGAGGAGGTCCAGAGTTTTCATATTTACTTTGGCATCATCCGAATCTGTCGTCGTTGGACGGGTGGCCGCACAGACGAAGGAGCCAAAGCGAAGAAATTGCCCTTCCGCCCGCACCCGTCATCCACAAGTGGCGCCCGGCGTATTTCCCATAGACGCGGGATTGGCGCGATGGCGGGAAACCAAAGGACCACACACCCCGTCGCTAGAAAGCGCGCCGGGCTTCGTACTAAAAGTCCAAGAGGCCGTTTTGGGGTCTCGCGGGAAGGCTGGGCTGTGCTGAGACATTGGGGCTGGCTAACTAACAATCAGCTGGCCCCAGAGCTTGATGCGTTGGCAGCTTGACTACTTGATGAACTGGTTTTCCCCCAATCGCCTCGACAGAACTTTCTACAGCGACGCAGCCTGTGGTGTCGAGACTCCCCTTACCCTTCTGCGCACAGGCTTTTTGGAGACCCCAGGGCGAACAGAGCTTGCTCGGGAACTAACGTCACCAGAACCACCAACTCGGCACAGGCTTGTTGGGTGAGAAGCCCTTTTGACCTCACAGAGAGTCCGGCTGAACTCAAACTGACAGCTCCAGGTGGAGCGTTGGTATCTGGCAGCTGTGAATCGAATAGTTCCTGCAGACTTTTACTTCCTTGGTTGGGAACGATTTTCTATACGGTCGAATGGTGAGAGTATGCCGCGCCATGAGAGGATTCTGAGCCCTGCAGCTCTGCGGCGTGGCTTGATTGAGAAGAGCTGACCAAGGACTAGACTGGCTGATGTTTGTTTCGTTGGACTCTCTAGAGCATATCACCTCGTCATTCGTCTCTCGTCTTTCGATGCTATCGGTTTACCCCTTTTCAAGCTTCCAATTGCGATGCTTTTCATTTAGATGAAGCCGCGCAGGACGCGGCACGACTGCAGCCTTACTTGAGTTCTTACGTCGATGGCTTACTGGGGCTAGATCCCTCGTAGAGCACGGACGACGGAATATTCTGAGTTTGTTGACATTAGCGAGAGACCGTGATGACGCCGTCGATTTGTCTAGCGGCGGGTTTTGAGGGCGCCGGCTACCTGGCTTATGCGTAGCTTGTCCGTTCGTTTGGGTTGTCGCATTGACGGATGTCGATGTTTGGTTTGCCTTAGGGCTTACGACGGCGCCGGGATGTTGGGGGTGCTTGACTTTGAGTGAGATACTACATCTTTGTGGACCAGGTGAGTTGAGACTGGTCGTCCGAGACATCTGTAGGGCCCTTATAAACTTAGGTCTCTGCGTTCCTATTTCTTGACAATCTAGTGTTTAGTGTGAGACCATCGTAGATGATGGAGTTTGACGATATCTCTACCTATGTAAGAACCTCTCGCCTTGGGCAGCAAAGTAAGCTCCGCAAGATCGAGTTCGCACTTGACTCCTTACCCATCATCGGACGTCGGTTATAGTCTATATAAGTCGATGAGATCCTCGCATTGTCGATTGGAATGGAGTTTCTACCGAACGAGGTGCCGGCTCGTTCTTCTTGCCCTTCCATTCGCTCTTCTTGATTTCTGCATCGTCGAGGGTGACACCTTTAGCTCGCTAGGCGGGTGTTCACACACCCGAAGGACAGTAGCTGAAAGAACGTGATCTATTTCTTTGCCTCCTCAGTCCTCGTTCACGTATTCGTGAGAGATCGTGTTTAAGACGGGAGATGAGCGGTTCTTATTATGTGAAAGTGAAATTTGCATCAAAGTGATGTAATGGTTGGGCTCAAGGAGCTGTTAGTTCCTTTGTCCAGTGCTTATGCTCTTGTGCGGTTTCCTAGCATTCCCGCGGTACTACCATGGTCGTGACCACAGTTTCTAGGCTATGGCTTTGATTCCACGATGTCGGGTGCTCTTTATAGGGAGCGGCATCACTAGGGAGTTGTGTATGACGGATGCTGATCATGTACCTTCCACATTAGTAGCATATCTTGATGAATGGTATGGACCAAGAAGGCTTGTCTAAGTGATCTCAAAGACTATTTAATACACGGTACTTAGAGACCAGAGTAAGAGGACGAGAAGACAGCACACAGTGTCGGACATTAGTTCTCTTGCTCTTGTTTTGTTAGAGGTGTTCTACTCCCTGGTCTCTAATAGACCAGAAATGAGTGTGGGCTTCGCGACGATACTATCCAAGCGTTCGACTTCATGGGTCGTACATCACCTCATCATCCCCTTGAGGCCTTAATTCTCAGCAGTTCCTGGCTCTCTCTTCTTAACGTGGGATTTCGAGTACTCTGCGGGATATAGACCCTTGCCGATCGATAAAGCGCGAGGGAAGAAGACAGACGTATAGAATATGGGTTGATGCCATGGTATAGCGAATTACCTGAGGATGAGTCGCACTGCCCATGCCGTGTAGTCACTGTGACTGCAGCCAAGTTTCATGACAAGGGCATTCAATACCTCATTGACCCTGCCAGAAGATTGTAGCATAGATGCAAGTTTGCGGCTGTTTATATAGATGTTTCTCCCGCTGATATACGAGGACTGAGGTGTTAGATCTGGCCGGGTAAACGCATTACCTGCCCGTTATCAAAGGAAGTCGATGGATCAGGGCAGCTGGACTGTCTGGAAAGCATGAAATAGTTACTCTGAGAATTGACGATGCCGAGAGAGATCATATTCTCAGCTATCTACCTCGCGTCAAAGGCCAGGCTCTCGATGGATGCGAGGAGGACGTCGACTATGCCGATGGTAAGGAGGACGTATCAGAAGCGCGACAGCTATGAGGAACTTTTCCGCGCGTATAGACCTTGACTCATACGGCAATGAGTTCAAACTAGGTGCCGCCGACTAACAGCTTCTGGTTCAGAGGCCGAGACAGACTCACTTGAGGCGTCTTCATGAGAACAGCGTCGAAGCTTGGGGTCAACGCGGGAGCTTCAAGATAAATTTCACTTCTTTGATCCGGAAAGCAGCTGCCATAGACAGGTCCCTCTTGGATATTGCGGTCACTTTCGCAATCGACAGATGGACTATCCACTGCCTTGTCTTCGCGTCTCGGAAACCATCATAGCCTCTTGCCAAGAACACTCAGTCCCCAAAGTATGGTTAATAACGGTGTAGACGTACGATTGACTCACTTAGCACGAGAAAGGTTATACATGTTGTATTGCCTCTAGACCTTGGGATCAGGACCCAAGTCAAACGTACAACGCAGAAGATCGACAGGGAATACATAAACCCTAGCAGTGATCTGGAGTTGCGATCGTCTCTCTCGCCAACCCCGCCTCCGCATCCCGGGCAAACGCTCGCCGCCTCGCTTCAGATTTACCCCGACATTCACCCCCGTCAATCTCGCTAACACGAGTACGCGGGGAAATTCTTCCACATCGCCGACTTACACAAGCCTGACCTACCAGAACGGGATCGCATGCCAAGAAACACTCACTCGCTCCGTCATGTTGTTGAAATAAGAAAACCACATGGAGCCGCCGTCCGGCACGACATCGCAATGGAACACCCACCTCCCTGCGACCTCGCCGTCCTCTGCTCAAGATGGCCCCAATGATGGCACGCCTCCTCCACTTTGCGCTCCTCCTTTTCTCCTCATCCGCCCTACTTGTCTCAACGGCCAGCACTACGGACCCGAATCCAGCTCGGCCATGGGAAGCGTACATCAACAGCCCGTCCACCCGGGCCGTCCTCCCTCAACGGATCCACGCCGTCTCCGGGCCCGCGAACGTGACGACCTCCGCCGACGACGGGAGCTTCGTCCTCACCCTCCAGCCAGGAGGTCAAGTATCCCTGGACTTTGGCTACGTCGGCGGTCTCCTCTCCATGATGGCAGAATCCAACAATACATCATCATCGCCCAGTAACTCATCAGAGCCGCACTTCTCCCTCGCCTTCGCTGAATCACCCTCCTTTGTCCGTGAGATCTCAGACGATACAGGCGCAACACCAACTCAAGACTACGACAAGGCCCTCAACGTCACAATCCCCGCTTCCTCTTCAACAACCCCCTACGCCTACACCATGCCCAAAGAACGCTTCCGCGGCGGCTTCAAATACCTGACCCTCCACGCCTTCCGCTCCGTAACAATCACCTCGATCATCTGCCACCTAGCCTACTCCCCATCCCAACCAAACCCCTCCCTCTGGGCAGGCCACTTCCATACCCCGGACGACGACCTCCTAACCCGCATCTGGCACGCCGGCGTCTTCACAGCCCAAACCAACATCGCGCCCCCCAACACATCCCGCTGGCTACCTCAAGTTAAACCAGGCTGGGCCTACAACGCGACCCTCGGCGTCGAGGGCCCCATGCTCCTCGACGGCGCGAAGCGGGACCGCGCAGTCTGGCCGGGCGACTTGGGCATCGCGGGCACGACGGCGTACCTAGGTCTCGGCGATGCCGGGTTGGAGTCGGTGTTCTTTGCTCTGGAGACCATGTTTCTTTACCAGAATGCTTCTACGGGCCAGTTACCCTTCGCGGGCCCGACGACTGGCTCTTGGAGACGGGGCGCGAAGAGCGATACGTATCATGCTTGGACATTGATCGCTTGCTTCAACTACGCGATTTTCACTCGCGACGAGGCGTGGGTTGACGGCCGGTGGGGGAACATCACAGCGGGCGCGAGTTATATCCTCCGCGCCATCGATGCCAGCAGCAACATAGGCCTTGCAGAGCAAGTCGAGACAAACGACTGGGCTCGTCTCGGCGGGGGAGGGTACAACAGCGCCCTCAACGCCTTGAACTACCATGCCCTCTCTTCCCTCGCCAGCCTTGCCGCCGACACGGCGACAAACTCCAACGACCGCGGAGAGCAGGCAACAACGTGGGCGGCCGCGGCAGCGAGGCTCAAGACGGCGTACAATACCGTCCTCTGGGACGCCTCCGCCTCGCAGTACCGCGACAACGAGACCGCCGCGGGAGCGCTCCTCTTCCCCCAGGACGGCAACGCGCTGGCCTTGCAGTATAACCTCACCACATCCCCCGCCCAAGCCTCCTCCCTCTCCGCGGCACTACTACGCAACTGGAACGCCATCGGGCCCGTCACGCCCGAGCTACCGGACACAATCTCCCCCTTTATCTCCTCCATCGAAGTCCTCGCGCATTTCGCCGCGCGGAAACCCCGTCGCGGGCTGCGGCTGATGCGCCGCACGTGGGGCTACATGCTCGACTCCCCGCTCATGACGGGCACCACGCTCGTGGAGGGGATGAGCGCCAACGGGTCGTTGTATTACCGCTCGCAGCGGGGGTATAACTACGACGCGGCGTATACTTCGCTCTCGCACAGCTGGTCTACGGGGCCGACGCAGGCTCTTAGCTTCAAGGTTGTCGGGCTTGAGGTTGTTGGGTGGAGAAGGTGGCGGTTCGAGCCGCAGATGGGGGATCTGAGGAGGGCTGAGGCGGGGTGGAGGGATGGGAAGGGGGGTGAGTATGGGGCTGTTGTTGTGGTTGAGGGTGGTGGTGATGGTGATGATGATAGGCAGGGGAGAGAAGGGGTACTGGAGGCGGAGATTCTGACGCCTAATGGGACTGAGGGAGTACTTGAGATTCCGTATTGTGAGGTTTTGTTTGTTGATGGGGAGAAGTGGGATGGCGGTCGTCTCCAAGGAGGGCGGACGAAAGTCAGGGGCGAGGGATGTCGAGTCAGTTGTTGAACAGGACTGTACCATGAGCAGTGTGAAGCAATACAGATCTATAATCATGCTTGCACCCAGACAGACTGGAGGATCCTTTGGTTTGCTTATGAGAACACCTGGTAGGGCGGTTGGTTATGGTTCAAACACCACGAATGCTGATAGCCTTCAGGAACTGGCTCCCAGGAGGGGCATATAGATCTACGAGATCTATAGCTGAATCCCCCGGTTCATGCCACAGAACTGGGCAGTTCGATTAGGCTATCACCGACTGCATTGATTGGACTGAATCTTTCAAGGGACTCGAACTATCCACTGTCGTGAAGTCCTTATTGGATCCGAATATGCTATTCCGAGTTAGTCCCACTTTGACGAACTAAATCCTTTCGCAAGAACCTGGCAGTGGGTTATCACAGGTGTTAGTCAAAGTATAGACGAAGCGACATTAGCTGACGTGAGATGGCAATTCAGTAACCATTCCAAAGATGATGAACCCAAGACAAGCTGACGCCGAGAGTCTCGGCCTGCAGCAGATCCACCGCCTGGACTTCCTACGATGGACTTTTCAAGTCTGAGAGGGATAAAAAGTTGATCCACAACTATGCGCCTCGACTTTCTCTTCCAACATCGTCAATACTTCACAGCCAGGAGTAAATCCACTCGCGCGCCAGTCACCCAGACATCGTCAGCCCTCGGGCTGAGTGGGATAGCATAGCCTCATAGAGGCAGACGCCGAGGCGATAGCTGAGGACCAAGAAGCGCATCGTGATTCCGAGTGGAAATATAAAACGGCGATGAAATCACCTCTCGTTCTGGTTTTGAAACATATCAGCAGCCACAGCCGGAACATCTTCTCACAAAGCGATAGCTCTACTCTTCGTCTTCTATATATTCAACCCCCCCCCCCCCCACTTCCCATCGCCAGCCTCCAGTCGCCACCTGTAAACCCCCTTCATCCAGTCAAAATGCACTTCCAAAGCTTCGTAAGACTAAACTCTTTCCTTAATTGAGTCTTGAAAGCGATTGTTCAGTATCTAAAGGGGCTCTTCAAGCTAACCTTGACCTATATCTACAGCTCCTCGCGGCCGCCATAAGCCTGCCTTTCTCCATGGCCGCTCCAGTAGCCGAAGCAGACACCACCAGCAACGTGGCAACCACCAATAACGCAGCAACCACCAGCAACATTGAGGCTCGAGCCTGCCCCTACACCGGCTGGTTTCAATGCATCAATGTCCAGACCAATCTCTGCATCGCCCAGTGTGCTTGGGCTGGCAGAAGATCCGCTGTCTGCCTGTCTGGTTGTTCGGCAAACGCGAATAGTGCTTGTGGCGCTTACGGCTGCGGCCAGTGAGCTCTATTGAACGATTCAAGAGATGTTAGAGAGGAAGGAGCTGACTTGTTATGGAATTGAAGAGGGGATGCAAGAATTGAGAAAGGGCTGATTAGGGAGGCAAGGGAAGGGGGGGTTGTTTCGCTGGGGCTATCAGGTAGTTACTATTCAGAACTTTCTTGACTTAACCTTGCACATTCAACCCGGAGCATGCCAAATGCCTCGTGTAGTGTACCAGCCGGCTCCCGAGTATCAACTGAATGTATACAAGTGATTAGAACGGGAAAAAGGATACAACTTAAGTCGAGGATTCAAAAAGGATGTCCCCTCACGGGATTGAACCGTGGACCTTCGCATGTCGAACAAGTACGAGTGCGACGCTCTACCACTGAGCCAAAGGGGCTCTCTGGAATTTTTGCTGCATCACGGATGCTTATATCGCGCGACCCAGCGTGAGCGAGCGTGAGCCAGTGGCCCGGCCTGGAATTTGGGCGGCTCAGACACAACGGTGTCATGTCAAAGACCGGCTGCTCGCGCAAGAAGTCTTATCAGGAGGCCTGTCGCATCCAGTTCGAGCGGCTGTGGTTTGCCATGAGCTAGTCGTTCCTCAAGGTGCATCATCTTTGCTGTCAAGAACGACGGCGTAGATTTCTTAGGGAACCACTTTATACTGACATTCTTCGATGGCTCCATCTATGGAGAGCAGGTTAGAAGAGGCATACCATCACAGCCAGTCAACCAAACTCGACCAACTGGCGACAAGACGAGATACCACAAGTACAAGGCACAATATATCACATCACCATAGAAGGTTGTTTGTCTTAACATTCCAATTCTGAGCGTCTACCTCATCTGTCTCATGATCATGACGGGCTAACTAGAATACACCCATACATCTAATATGGGGAGGCAATTATGGAAAACTTCCGAAGCCGCAATTAAAACCGAAAACCGTCCAACTCCGATGAACTTTTTCTCTGGTATCCCGTATTTTTCATCCCAAAGATCCTTTAGTCAACCTCCTCCATGGCGCTGTCGCCAGTCTCGACAGCGGACGTATCAGCGGCGGGAGCCTCGACAGTCTCCTCCTCCTCGTCAATGTTCAGGCCGAGCTGAACAAGCTTGTGGATGCGCTCGGCGAAGCTGGCGGGCTCATCAATGGTGAAGCCAGAGACCAGGAGAGAGGTCTCGAAGAGAAGCTGGACGATAGACTTGACGGTGCGGTCGTTCTCGCCGTCGGTCTCGACCTTCTTCTTGAGCTCCTTGATGATGGTGCTCTTGGGGGAGATCTCGAAGGTCTTCTTGGAAGACATGTACGAGGACATGGAGGTGTCACGGAGGGCCTGAGCCTTCATGATACGCTCCATGTTGGCGGACCAACCGAACTGGCCAGTGCGAATGGCGCAAGGGGCACCAGTGAGCATCTGGGAGACGACAACCTTCTCGACCTTGTCGCCGAGAACGTTCTTCAGGCTCTTAGCGAGACCCTCGTACTCCTTCTCCTCGGCCTCACGGGCAGCCTTCTCCTCCTCGGTCTCCTCGAGCTCGAAGTCCTTGGTGATGTCGACGAGCTTCTTGCCCTCGAACTCCTTGAGCTGAGTCATGGCGTACTCATCAATGGGGTCAACAAGGAAGAGAACCTCAAAGTTCTTCTCCTTGAGGGAGTCCAGGAAGGGAGACTTGGTGACAGCCTTGATGGACTCGCCAGTGATGTAGTAGATGTTCTTCTGGACCTCGGGCATGCGAGTGACGTAGTCGGAGAGGGAGGTGAGCTCATCGCCAGACTTGGTGGAGTTGAAGCGGAGGAGCTTGGCGAGGATGTTGCGGTTCTGGGAGTCCTCGTGGATTCCGAGCTTGAGGTTCTTGGAGAAGGCAGAGTAGAACTTGTCGAACTGCTCCTTGTCCTCAGCGATCTCCTGGAAGAGCTCAAGAGCCTTCTTGACGATGTTCTTCTTGATGACCTTCATGATCTTGTTCTGCTGAAGGGTCTCACGAGACAGGTTGAGGGGAAGGTCCTCAGAGTCGACAACACCCTTGACGAAGCCGAGCCACTCGGGAATGAGGTCGGTGGCATCGTCGGTGATGAAGACACGGCGGACGTAGAGCTTGATGTTGTTCTTGGTCTTCTTGGTCTCGAACAGGTCGAAGGGAGCGCGCTTGGGAACGAAGAGGATGGCACGGAACTCGAGCTGACCCTCAACAGAGAAGTGCTTGACGGCAAGGTGGTCCTCCCAGTCGTTGGAGAGGGACTTGTAGAAGGAGGCGTACTCCTCCTGGGAGATGTCCTGGGGGTTGCGAGTCCAGATGGGCTTCTGCTTGTTGAGCTCCTCCTCCTCGATGGAAGTCTCCTTGACCTTCTTGGTCTTGGGCTTCTTCTCCTCCTCATCGTCATCGACCTCCTCGATCTTGGGCTTCTTGTCGTCACCCTCCTCGGTGGTCTCGGTGGCCTCCTCATCGGGGACCTCCTTCTCGGTCTCCTTGGTGACGTGGAGGTAGATGGGGTAGGAGATGAACTCGGAGTGCTTCTTGATGACCTCCTTGACCTTGGCCTCGTTGAGGTAGTCGGTCTGCTCATCCTTCAAGTGAAGGATGATCTTGGTGCCGCGGCCAAGAGCCTCACCCTCGGTGTCAGGGGTGATGGAGAAGGTACCACCAGCGGAAGACTCCCAGACGTACTGCTCGTCATCGTTGTGCTTGGAGACGACGGTGACCTTGTCGGCGACAAGGTAGGCAGAGTAGAAACCAACACCGAACTGACCGATCATGGAGATATCGGCACCGGCGGTGAGGGCCTCCATGAACTGCTTGGTTCCGGAGCGGGCAATGGTACCCAGGTTGTTGACGAGGTCCTGAGGAGGTCAGCTACTGATCATTGCAATTGAGTGGTAAATATTGGGAACATGTGGTACTTACAGCCTTGGTGAAACCAATACCGGTATCACGGATGGTAAGGGTCTTGTTCTCCTTATCGGGGATGATGTCGATTCTCAGGTCCTTGCCCGAGTCGAGCTTGCTGGGGTCGGAGAGGGACTCATAGCGGATCTTGTCCAAGGCATCGGAGGCGTTGGAAACAAGCTCACGCAGGAAGATCTCCTTGTTTGAGTAGACAGTGTTGATGATGAGCGACAGGAGCTGAGAGATCTCAGCCTGGAACTCGAAGGTCTCCGGGGAAGACATTGTGATGGAGGATGTGGGTATCTAGGGCGTAACGGTCGTAATTCTGTCAAGATTTGTTAGATGTTGTTTGGAAAAGGTGGTTGTGTGGCGGTGAGGCTGCGATTTGTGGAGGGGTAGTAGAGCGGGGGGAGGGGAGCCTTGTCGCCGACTTCGCGGGATTGGATCTCCAGGGCAGATGATGCAGAGATGATCAATCTCAATCACTGACGAGGCTGACGCTTGAATTGCGAGATGCCAAGTTCCGATCGAAAAAGAAGTGAGGGGTGACGGTAGGGACGGCAAAACGGCATCGAGACCAGACCGGGACAGCGGGGTGTGTTTCGGCGGGCTTACCTTGAGAAGAGCTTCTCTACGAATGCAACAGGTCTTTCGCTGCTACGAATCGACGATGGAAAGATTGATTCTTTTGGGGGAGTAGGAGAGAAGAGAGAAATTGGGAGAGGGAGAGAAAAGTTGAGATGCGAAGAAGAAGAAGTCTGAAAGTCAAGACGACGTGGGAAGAGGAGGAGGCTAAAGAAGAAAAAGGCGTCTGGAGTCCCGGTGGCCGTCTGGACCCCAAAGCAGAAAGGCAGCGACGCTCACCCCCCCAGCTCAAGAATTCTATGCGATTCCATCACCTCCAGGCCTTCCAGACCCTTCTCTGATTCGCTTGCCCTGCCACCACAGCAACCGTGCGGGGGCTCTGATTGGCCGATCTGCGGGGGCCACCGTGTGGGACGAGGGTCCCTTTTTTTTTCTTGTGCCTTCCTCGCCTGCCTGCCGCCTGCCGCCTGCGCCTGCCTCCATAGCACCTCAGACTCAGACCAGCATGGAAAAGAAGAGAATCGCCATCCAATGCATTTGGGGAAGGGACGCCTTACCGCCATCCACTGAGGTGCGCTTACCTTGTAAACAGCTTCAAGTGTATTTATCTTAGGTACCTCACCTTATGTAAGGAACCTCTTTTGTATGTACCTTACCTACCCTATACCTACCTCAGAGGGTTAAGGAAGGCGTCGCTCTACCTAGGTACCTCACGTAGCGTCCGGTGGTCACAGCTTCTTGCCTTCTATTGATTCTCCCTTGCCTCCGTGCCTCCGTGCCTGCTTCGATGTGGGGATGAACAGTGTCTGTTTGTCCTGTCCAAAGTCTTCTTTTACTCCAGTCTTACCGCCTCCGAACGATGAATCCCCGTTCTCAATGTTCTCAAACAGAAATCGACACTTCCACTGTTTGCTAGATACTTCTGTTTGCTCCAAGGTCCACCTTGAATGGTTCGATGTCAACGCGGGCGAAGTTAAGCCCAGCAACCAGTCGTCTGGCGTTGAAATACCCTTACCACAAGTCCCACCCATCGACGAGGCTGAAAACCAAGCGCCACCCCTTCGTGAAATCTGCCCCGAGGTTGGGTACTGGGCTGCTGGCTTAAGCCTGCGGCGGCGCCTTGCGGATATGCCAGCACATCTCATCTCCCCCGCGTCTGAACCGCCCGCATCATTGGCAACGGCCAGGGGGTCGTTGCACGGTCCATCTCTTTTCACGACGTCTATTCTCGGCTTCAACTACAATGCCTGCCCTACTTCAGTTGGGACCCGTTTCACACCGCTGCCAAGGAGCCGCAGGAAGAGTTGCTTATAGAACTTGCTCTATCCAAAACCTACCAGCAGACATTAAGACAGGCCAATTAACTCCCGTCTATTTACACTTTTTGACTCAGACTATATAACTCTCAATTCAAGGTTAATTTTGACCACCCTCAACAATAGTTGCACATGGTTGGGCATATCTAGACACATCCAGGCACTGAAGAATGGGACACGGGCGAGTTTCCAGGCCCACACTGAGCTGAATGAATGCTATTTTCAAGGGAGGTATGCTAAGAGTGCTAGCCAGGTCCAAGCGGTGGTAGAACCACCCAGTTTCGGTAACCGCTCTATGCGGGATAAGCGAGATAAGCGAGATACTAAGCGATGGGCAGACTGAATAGTGCGAAGTTGCAACGGCAATAGTCTACCTGTTAGGGCAGCCCGTTTTGCGGTCACAAGCATTCCTCCCCTTGGGACAAGGCTTGCCTTTCTTGGTGCGTGTGTCGCAACAATCGGCATCCTAGACAGAGAGCATGTCAGAAAGGTCCTCTGTAATATCTTGGGGCAGAAGGGGCAGTTCATGAGGCTACTTACACACTGCTGCGGGGTGATTCCAAACTTGGCACAGTAATTTTCTGTGTCGCCGGCAACGTTGCAAGCACCTTGCCTGTTACAGGCATCTACGTTATCTTTACCGCCCCAGCAGCAATTGGGATCGTAGCTCCCTGCAATCATGCACTATATTGAGTGTTAGCGACTCTGCATCAAAGCTGGCCGGACCGGAAGAGGTCACCTACGCCAGCATTAACCGATGTAATGGTCATGGCAGTAACGAAGATAAAGTTGATGAGCTGCATGTTGGAGATATGAAGTGCTGCTTGAAGGTGGTTTTGAAGTAAAGTGTTTGAGAGGTCGTGATAGTTGTGTTGTGAGTGAAGAGTCGAGTGATTGCAACTCTCGGTCGACAGATGATCTGACCCTTTATATAACATAAAATTCCATTGAGGCATTGCCATAGTGCACCGATGCCACTCCTAGAAATAGGCCGCTAGCCTTGCTCGAGCAGGAGATACCGTTCTCGTGATATGAAACAGACTAGACTTCTTCATGCAATAGTTATTGTTAGTTCGCGGACTTGAGAGTGTGCTTGTCGAACCTCATAGAGAGATGTATAGGCAACATAAACTTTCACTAGTATCGATGGCCTTGACGGCCTTGATGGCCTCGAAGAAGAAACACCTCCTAGAACGGGAGGTGAACCGACATACCAAATCCCACTTCGGCCATATTGATAATCACTCAAACCGACACGTATCTCTCTATTATTACCCTATACTTTATCATGTATTACTCAACGTAAGGCGGCACTCGGGCAGCTGGGCACAGTATGAAACGCGATAGACGCGGGTATTCCTACTGTCAACACAGAATAAACTGACTCGCATACCTACTCGCACGGTTGTAAACTCTATAAGCGATGGACTACGGGCCTTGGAACATGCTTCATGGATATTGTTTCCTAAACGAACGCTCTAAATCTGAATATTCTGCCTTGGTGGCCTGGAATAAGAAAACTTGCCGGACTAGGAAGTGTACGTGCATACCTTACCAAGTCTCAACTTTAACCTGTCGACCATCAAAGGCAACTAGCTCGAACATTGGCACAATCAGTGTGCTACGCCGATGGACTCTGGGCAGCCCTTTAGGATGTATCAAGGCCGTAGTCTCATGAATTGGAAAGGGGCAAGCCCGAATATCAGGATTCTATTTTCAAGTACACACAGCGGTTTGGGCTATCTGAGAAAAGTATAAAGCTCATCTGTCTTTGATCATCAGGATGACTTAGAACCAGCTCATTCTTATCTCTATCCAACTTCCACATCTTACACATCTACAACCAAACCTGATTCTTTTCCTCAACCATGAAATTCTCCTCAGTTATTATCAGCATCATCTCCCTGACGGTGGGAACGGCCATCGCCAACCCGGCCAGGCTTGAGAACCGACAGAAAGCCCCAGGTGTTGGCGATCCAAATGCTCAGTGCGATGGGAAGCATGACTGTTGCTTTAGCTCAGAAGCTGCCTGCTTTAGGCAGTACGGTACTCTTCCTGGCAACATTTACTGTCCGCTGCACAAGTATTGTGCTACAGACTACAATATCCCCCGCACCAAATGTGTAAGTAACACATTGAGAAGAATTGGAGGGCAGAACTGACGTGTAGTATGTATAGAACGCTGATTGCTGTTCAATCTCCAATGACTTGGGCCGTGGGTGCCCGGGCAAATAGACGGAGTCGTTACACTGTCTTTACTGGTGTTGGATCTCGAAGTACACTACTATTTAGGATAGCGGATCGGGTGCCCTTATCTTAAATATGTCGGAAGTGGGGTGTGAGCTTCAAGAGACTCAAATGCGGTAGGCAGTGAAAAGCTTATGACGGGAGGAGAAGAACCTATGATCATGAACGCGATTCGTGATATTGTATGCATAGAATGAATGAACTTAGAGAATTTTATCTATCGGACTTGGCCAAAACCGACCTGTTTGTTATCTCTCACCTGACGGTCTCTTGTGCAAAGCTGGTTGTTGGAAATAATTCAAAGCCCAGTTCATACCGTCAACAAGCTCCCAGTGCCGATTTATAGCCGCCCTAACCATCCTCTTTGAAATCAATGGGCGGAGTTTCCCTCACATAGTATACACTCTATCCGCAACCTCTATACATGGGGTATGATACACAACATCTCCAACCTCAGTCTCCCGTCTTCACTTCTCTCCCTTTACCAAACATTCCCCCAGCGTCCGATACCGTCGATCAGCATAAACAAGCCCAAACCCCTCCCCTCCCCCCCTCACAACCCCCTCAACCTCCCCAACAACAACAACATGATCCCTAACCCTCACCATCCCCTCCCCAAGAGCCCGACACTTGATCACATACAACACCCCCTTCCCTTCAAGTAAAGGCGCCTCCCCATCCTCCTCAACAACCTCAACCCCCTCAGGCAACCCCTCAAACAACCCCTCCCCGGCACCAGCGTTCCCCCTCGGAAACAAATCCGCAACCCTCGCGCCCTCCCCTCCCTCCGCGAGAACATGCACATTGAAAACCCCGCCGCTCTCGCGAATCGCATCCAGCGTCCGGCTCGGCGTCCGGACGTTGAACGTCACCAGCGGCACGGGCTCCATGCTCAAGCTCACGAAGCTCGACATCGTCATGCCCCGTGGCCGACCCGCGCGATCTGTGGCCGTGGCGACGACGACCGAGTGCGCTAGTCTCCGCATCACGCCGCAGAGCTGTGCTGGGAGGTCGGCTGTGGGGTCGTGGGTTGTTGTCGGGGGTTGATGGGGTTCTCTGCGCCATGTTGTCGTTGTTGTCATTGGTTTCGAGGAGGAAGAGGAAGAGGAGGAGGAGAGGTATCGCGGTGTCGTGTGTATTGTTCGGTGGTGCTCGGAGGTCGGTGGGTTTAGGCCGACGGGCCTTGGTATGCTTGACGAACGTTCATTCTGAGCTGAGACGATGCGTCAGTGACCATGTTCAAGCATATTGAATGTGGCAATGCCTTACAGCTTCCAATCAGGGTCCGCTGAACGCCGCCTCCTTCGGTCCTTGGCCGGCCGACGCGACGCAGCGCGGCCCCCAGCACACGAGCTCCGGTCATCGCATGCGCCGGAGCTTAGCCCGAGGTTGCCGTACGGGGTAGCGCGCAGTCACTTCGCGATTCGGCAGTCTAACCAAGCAATAAACGGTGCAACTGTAATCCGCGCAGGTCGCGTCTGTAAATTCTGTCAAAGGAAAGCAATGGCTCGTGGAGTGGCTATGAAGGACGTCAAAAGCTGGACTTCCTTACCCCCCTTGTAATGGTGGTAGCTCAAGCTCTCGGTGATGTAAATCGAACCCAGAAAAATTCCTTATCGATAAGAAATCACTCCCCGGGCACACGCTGAGCTGTGGACCCGCGCGCACGGAACTCCCCGGCCCCGACCAACCGAAATTTTGGTTTCCTCAGGTCGCGCGGCCAGCGGCCAAGGAGAATCGAGCCAATCGAGCCAGCATCGCCAAAAGCTTCAAACAAATTCTCCTTTGCCCACGCGCGCGCGCTCCCTCCGCCCGTCGCACCATTCTCGCCACTGAACCTTTCTCTACGATCCTACCAGAGCTCTTCCTCGCCTCCAAATTAATTGAGCTTCCTCCACCACTCCTCGAACCATACGAAAATCCGCAAAAATGGGCAAGCTCCCAACCCACCTGCCCAGGCCAACAAGCCTCCTCGCCCACCGACCCTCCCTCACAACCTCCTCCTGCTCCGGCGCCACAATCTCCTCCGCCTCCTCACCGAGAATAGGTCTCCCGACCCAACAATCCCGTGCAGCAACCTTCATTCCCCGCCCCCGCCGCCCTTACACCTTCACCCAACTCATCCAGCTCTCCGACGGAAGCACCTACACCGTCCGCACCACCTCCCCGAGCCCCCTCGTCCGCTCCGCAAAGGACTCCCGCAACCACGCCCTCTGGCAACCCTCTGACAAGTCCCTCAAGAACGTGGAAGTCGACGAGGCCGGAAAACTCGCGGCCTTCCGTGAGCGTTTCGGTCGCGGGTTCGATCTGGCTGCCAAGAAGCCGACGGAGGAGGAGCTCAACGCCGCCGCTGCTGCGGCTGCAGCTTCTTCTGCAAAGGACGCTGGAAAGGGCGCTGCTGGAAAGGACGCTGCTGCCACAGGAAAGGAGACTGCTGGAAAGGATGCTGCTGCTGCCGCCCCGGCAAAGGAGACCGCGAAGCCTGCCCAGCCGGCTGCTACCCCCGAGGAGGACGACATCTTCGATATGGGCGATTTGATCAGCGGGTACGCCGCGATGCAGCCGCAGCAGGCTGTCAAGGAGCCCCCCAAGAAGGCGGCGGCACCGGAGAAGGGCAAGAAGGGAAAGAAATAAGGCAACGCGAGAGCACGACACAAACAAAACCATCACCACTGTCATCAGCATCCCCTGAGTATAGCTGGCGAGAAAAGAAGCTTGTACGATGCCCAGAGCCGGATCATTGTATAAAAAGGGAGATTTCACGGAGACCCGCCGAGAGGGCGATCAAAAGCGTGGTCAGAGGAGGAGGTGGATTACGGGAGCCCCTTATACCCCCCATGGGGTTTCTTCTACTGTCAGATATGTACAACAACCACAACTACTACAACCAAGAAACGATAGGCTCCACAATGTGCACTATTGCCCACACTTGATTCACTCGTCACTCGTCCCAGTGCGCCGTGGGGTCGAAGAAGAAACCGCTGCTGTGATGCGTAGGTATAATGTAGTGAATCAGCGGACGCCGTGCCTCGGGCTTCTAGTCAGAGTCGTCGTTGATGGTGGCACGAGCCCTGTCAATGGCCGTGTTGCCGGGCGGTTTGCCCGAGGGCTGGATGACGGGCGGCCGGTAAAAGACCGTCTCGTCGTCCTCGGCATCCAGCTGCATGAGGAACGTCTCCCACTTCTCAATCAACTGTTAAGCGTCAGCCTCATTCTCACCTCATGTATGTCGCGGATTGTCTTACCTCTTTTTGTGCCTCTACCGCGCTCTCCAAGAAGGTCTCAACGCCGCTCTTGAAGTCCTCCACCTTTTCTCTCTCAAAGCGGTCAAGCTCCGCCCTCATCAACCGACCCATATCCTCAAATAGGAGCCTAGCCTGGTGCACCTTTCTCTCCACGTCGCCGACCTCCGCGCTTACCTGGTTCAGCCTGTCCTGCTGGCTCTTGCCTTGCCGCAAGAGCTTGTCCTGGGAAGCCTTCTTCTTCTGCAGTTCTGACTCGGCAGAGTGCCACGAGTGGAACGCCTTTTGTCGCTGGCTGAACGCCTGCTTAACTGACCCAATCAGGCGGATGTACTCCTCGATAATGATGCCAAAGGTCAAAACATCCTGCTGGGCCTGACGGTCGTAGACATCGCGGATCGTCAGCTGCAGCTCGGACAGCGCATCCAGCGGGCCCGACAACGAGGGCGAAAGCTCAACCGTAGACAGAGCGTGCAGAGACGCCGAAAAGTCTCCAGCGGCCTCGGCCATCATCTTGCGCTGGCCAACCATTGTCTCCATTGCCTTGAGCAACGCCTTGAGCTGGTTCTCGAGCGCATCGAGGTAGACCTTGCGGTCATGGAACCACTGTCGTCCTCTGTCAGTATACAATCCTCCTGGTAATCCCAGCGCACACTCACGTCATCTTGCTCGACAAACTTGCTGCTGCCACCGACATTAATACCCAGACTGCCGAGGACACCCTTGCTTTCTCCGGGAATCGGCTCCCTCCGCTCCTTGTGCTTGACGTCGACGTTGAATGATTCGCTCTCGAGGAACAGCTTCAGGTCGGCATCGTGCTGTAGGGTAGGGTGCGCAGCAGTCTTGTTCACCATCTTCTCCAGAGCGGCGCGACGTCCTTCAACAAAGTTACTCTCGAAGCGACCGACAGCCTGCTTATCCGGCGGCGGCGGCACAACAACACCGGGGTTGTTTCCGTGCAGCGTATTGTACAGCCAAAGGAAGTCACGGTATCTGCGCTTCACCTCGAACTCGGGCTGCTTGTATGCCTTTGAGGAGGTCTGTCGGTTCCATCATGATTAGCGCGGGCTCCTCTCCCCCAATCCCCGCTTCACCAATGGAAGAGCTTCATCTTACCTTGGTCCTGACAGAGTAGACGATATGCGAGCTGGTCAAGTCTCCAACCTTGTGCGGATCGCCCACCGTGATCTGGAAGCTCGGCTTGCTAGCCTGCTCGACGCTGACGCTAGGCTGAGTGTGCGTCCGCACCGGGCTAGGATGCGCAGCCTGAACGGGTGGCGGCTGCCTCGGGCCAGACGGACGGTCGTAATCGTCCTCGTCGATGTGATGAGGGTCGGAAGGTCCGGCGCGGCGGCCCTGCTGGGGCGGCATCGAGGTGCGGATCACCATCTGCTCCTTCTGCGGCGGCACGGGCGGAGCATCCTGGCCGGCTTCGGCGCCATTGTCTGCGGCGGCGGGAGCGCCCAGAGGACCCAGAGGACCGAGGGGATCGTCGACGGCTTCGAGGCGGGTAGGTTGGGCGGAAACGAGGCGACGAACAGGTCCGGAGCGTGAAGGGCGAGGAGCGGATGCCGTGCTGGGTGCGTCTGACTTGACCACGGGCTGCGACGACGTCGACTCTTCGCTTTGGGAGGGCTGCTGTTGGGTCGAGGGCTCGGAGGTGGGTTGCGAATCGCCCCATGGCGACTCTTCGAGGGGATCCATCCTTTCGTTTGCTCGATGCGCCAGTGGCTATGGTAATTTCGTGAGAATGAAATCGGGTTAGATGACGGGCCTGTAGAGTACCACGGAAATCGGGCGATGGTTGGGGTGGTGAATTGAGGTGAGGTGGGATGTGGTCTGGCAAAAGGCAAGGCAGCACAGTAAGGTGAGGTACATCCAAGGCACGGCCGGTTCTGGTTGTGTCTGACTGACAGAGGCTCAATGCGAGAGGTGCACAGCTGCTCCGCACTACCTGATTCGCTGAGGCCCGTTGGAAGCTTCAGCCACTCGACCTCGATTGGGACCCCAGAGCCCATCGAGGCCCCTGTAGCCTGTAGGTACCTACCCGGCCTGCCCCAGGAGCGCCGCACTCGAGGTACCTAGCGGTTGCGGTCAACGTCACTGTTCCTGTCTCGACTGACGCCGGGCAATGGCGGTGCTAATGTACGAAGTACCTTACCGAGACATGTCACGAACAAAGATACAATTCAAAGGGAAGCGTTCACATGCATTTTACTTAGATCACGGGCAAATTGGCTTTACAGCCTTCCCAATTGACTAAAGGTATCTACTACATTGATGATTTACACAAACCAGTAACCAGGCGATTTTGCTGTCCCAGACCAGGATTACCTCGCCCAAGTCACATTTTGTCGACTACCGTGACCCCAACGCCAAACTCAAGATGAAGACAGTCTGATTCTTTCCCTCCAGAAAATCCCGTTCCGCAGTGAGAAGAGATGCATGTTGCGATTAACGGTCGGGATCGTAGCAGCCACCAGACACAATTAGGTTCATGCGGGTGAACTGTACCTTCATGACGGGCGTCTTCTTGGTCGGGAATGCGCTGATCTGGTCGGGCGTAATCATAACCTCCTTGCCCTTCTTCTTTCCGCCACTGGGAGCACTAGATCCACTGCCAGTCGCTCCCTGACCGCTAGCAGTCGGGCGATCCGTCTGTCCGCTGGCCGCGACGATGGTGTCGCCTCCCTCTTGAGCAGGCGCCGCTCCTTGCTGCTGCTGAGCCGCCTTGTGGCCCTCGGCAGGGAGCTCGACATCCCACACACGGACAGTGCCGTCTTGGCCGCCAGAGACGAGAACGTTGGACTCGACGCTGAAGCTCATGGACCAAATACCGCCTTTACCGTGGCCGCGGGAGCGCTTGATGCGGAGGCCCTTCTGGATGTCCCAGAGGAAGATATTGCCACTGCAATCAGCCGTGGCCAAGATTCTGCCATTGGGCGCGACCTCGATGGTGGAGATGTAGTCCGTGTGACCGGTGAAGACACGCACGCACTGGCCGGTGATGACAGACCACATGCGGACCGACTTGTCCGTCTCGTCGGAAGCCGAGAACACGTATGTTCCGTTCGGGTGCCAGGCCACAGCCGAGATGCTGGAATCGTGACCGACGAGAATGCGCTGCGCGGATGCGTGATCCTGCATCCAGACGCGAACAGTCTTGTCCCAGCCGCCAGTCAAGAAGTAGTGACCGAAAGGACCCCACTCGGCTCTCAACACCGGACCATCGTGGCCCTTGTAGACGCAGACGCAGGCCCAGATATCCAGCGACCACACTCGAACGGTGCCGTCCGCAGAACAAGACAGCAGCAGCTTGGAGCTCGTCTCGATAGGAGACTCGCCCTTGCCCTCCTCGCCGAATGGCGCATGCTCGAGCTTGGCAATGGCATCGGAGAAGGAAACTGAGTACACTTGAGCTGAGTGACCGATAAGCTTGCGGTTGTTGAACTTGTAGTCCTTCTCGTCATTGCGCTTCGACTTGAGAGGCTTGCCCTCAAGATGCCACACTCGGATGTAGGAATCCGTGGTGCCAATAGCAACCATTTCGTGATCCTTGGAGAAGTCCATGCATGAGACACTATACCAAACTGTTAGTCAAATTCACTGGATAAGAACGTACTACTTGCCTTCCTAAAGTGTTGTGGAAAGTGAACATGCACGCGCTCACAGGAACGCCGACGCCGCCGGTACGTCCGTCAATCTTGAAGCGATCACGGTTCTCTCTGACCTTCTGCATCTCCATGACAACGTCTCTGGCGCGAGATGGAGGCAAAGGCAGGTCAGCTCTTGTGGGGCCATCGGCGCTCTCCTCACGCTTGATCTTACGATCGAACTCGTCTACCAAAGTAGCACGGCCATCGGGCGGGGGGTTGAGCGCATCCTCATCCTGGAGCTCGGCCCTGACATCGTCGCGGAGGTCCTCTTCCATGGGCAGAGGACCCAGCTTGAGGGGCACCGTCTTGTCCAAGAGGTCCCGGTTTGAAATGCCGGTGAAGACTCCAGGGATACCTTCTTGTAGATCCACCTCGTCAATGTCGAGGTTCTGAGATCGGCGGTAAATCGCCTCGAAGCTGAAAGGCTCGATGGGGCCACGGGCCGTTGAATCCAACTGGCAGAAGGTCGAAAGAATGTACAGGATAACGGCGCCGCCATTGTCCCGCTCGCGCTCAAGGAAGTGGAAGAGGTTGCCACTGATGTGCTGGTTGAGCGGAACGCGGTACTTGTTCTCTCTGTACAACTTGGTGGTAGGGTTTTCCTTGGCGTGCAGAGCCAGTGTAATGGTGGAGAAGGTCTTCAGGTCATCGGAGTGGACATTCTCAAAGTACGACTTGAGGTTGTTGAGGATGATCTTGGCTTCCTCAGAGTAGTTCTGAGTGACGAGCTCGAGCCAGGAGTAGACGAAGACGGGCCAGAGAAGCTTGTTCAACTCGAACTGTAAAAGGTTAGAAATAATGAAAGGCCAGAATCAGATGGACTGCTAGAGGCTTACCTTGTAGATGTCGAGGTTGTTCTCGACCCACTCACGGAGCAAGTTGAAAGCCTTCAAGTACTTCTTAGGGCCCAAATCATCAACCTTATTGTGAATGGGTCTGCCGTCAGGACCCAAGTGCGAAGACTCTTGGCGAAAGATGGTTTCAGTACGAGTGTATCCTCGCTTCAGGAGATAGTCTGTGACCTAAAAACTGTCAGCGATGTCGGGGAAAGCGTTGAAAAGGCAACTCTGCGCGATCGTACTTTCGCTGCCTTCGCAGTCTCTATATCTTCTGGAACGAACATGTTTGCTCTCCCGTGCCGAAGACAAGTAGAAAATAGAGGAGGAAGGAGAGAGGATGAAGAGATAGGAATAGAGAAATCATGCTCAACATAAGGAATGGGAGACAAGGAGGATGTTGGGAGAGAGGCGGTCCTCTTCCACGAGAATCCAGAAGCCACGCCGCATTGACCTACCATCTCAACCTTGGACACTCTCTCTTGAAGGTAACTGGCCATTGTCTTCAAACTCCTGGATGTTGATGATATTTTGACGTGAAAGAATAATAAAGACGAATTGGAAGGTGTGTGAGTTGAATGATGATGGTGAAAGGTGATGGATGAGGAAAAGGCAAGCAGAACCAAACACACAAAGAAATGTGAACTGGCAACTACCCATGAGATGGGTTTTGTTTCTGCAATTCTTGCGGGAGATGGAAGAAGCAATTGCTGTCCTTCTGTCCCCCGCCCTCGAAGGAATACACGATCCTCACCCGCCGATCTCATCTCTCACGGTTCCAACAGCACTTGCCATCACCACCAGCCGTCGACCGCCACGGTCACCGCACTCGCAGCAACCGAACGATCAAACAACCCTTCCTCCCCATATAGACGCATAGGAACCACAAAAAGGACACCAAACTGACAACTGGAATCCCAACTTACAATCTGATTCAGATTCTGATTCGACATGGGCGCAGTAGCCGGCGCCGGCGCAGGCGCAGGCGTAGCCGTCGCAGGGGGCGGGATCGGCGTCTGGCTAGTCGGGATAGTAGGAGCAGGAATAGGCGTCACCGTCGCCGGTACCGTCGACGCAGCTTGTTGTTGCTGCTGCTGCTGCTGCTGAGGCTGTTGTGAAAAGGATCCCGACGCGCCTGTGCCTGCTGCGCCTGCTGCTGCCGCTGCTGGTGCGCCCGGGGTGGTGCTAGCACCTGGTTGAGCCGGGGTTCCCGACATTTTTTACAAAACGATTTTGATAGTGTTGGAACGCGCGCAGTTGGTGTAGATGAAAATTTCTGGTTTCGATGTGGCGATGCGCCTTTCACGTCTCTCGGCGCATTAGTCGTGAACCGGGCGGGTGAGACGTGATCGTGAGTCGTCGTCGAGCCAAGGTCGGGTACCCGTGGCGGAAACCGAGGCCGTAATCTCCAGGTTTCTAATGAGCGTGTTTCTCTGAGGAGACGTTGACTATCAGCAAGTAGTGTTGCAGATGCGAACTTCCGACTTTTGATGATAAACTTCGATGAGATGTCGTCGAAAGTCGCGTCCGGCCCCGATGAAATGAGGCTCCTTCATCCCCTGCAAGGCTGCAAAGGAAAGGACGTGAGGTCAAGGTTGGCGGCGGAAAATATCTGGAGAGGATGGCGCTAAGCCTTTCTCGGCATAGTGTATGCCTCTTCGCTCTCAGTCATTGGAAGAGAGCTTCGACCTTCCCCGGTGGTCGGACCCACCTTTTTTCAACTCAGACGCGACCTCTTGGAGCTCACCTGTGAGCTCGAGCACTCACCCACTGAATCTCACTCACCACCTCAACCTCTCATCTCACGAACTACTTTACACTCATCAAGAACCACGATCCACCCATAATATTGTCCTCTTCCCAACTCCTCAAACTCACCAATTGCACACGTCTGTTCTCCCTATAAAATCCGAAATCAGCTCTCAAACGCAACAATGGCAGACACAGCAATGACAACAGACGCCCCAAACGAACCCTTCACCCTCCAAGAACGAATCCAACAACTCTGCGAAATCGACACCCAAATAGTCTCCCTAATGTCCCACACCTCATCCGCCCTCTCCGCCCTCGGCGCACCCCCAAAGCCCTCCCCATCATCAGACCCCTCAAACCCATCCGCTCCTCCCCCCCAACCATCATCCTCCTCCTCCCAAACCCAAACCTTCAAAACCTCAATGGACGCCCTCCTCTCCACCCTGCACACAGTAGACGTCCACATGAAGCGCCAAATCCTCGCCCTCGAAGAAGCCTCCATCATCAAGCTCCGCAACGACGCGGATCCCAAAACCCGACAACCCGTCATGAACGAGGACGCCAAAATCGTCGCCCGACCCTCCCTCGAACCCAACGGCGTCGGCACCATTGGTAACCTCGACGTTGGGTGGCTCAATAGCCGCAACAACAAGGTCGAGCGCGACATGGAGGCCGAGTTGTGGGCCAAGATGAGGGAGCTGCTGGAGCGGTATCACGCCAAGGAGGTGGCCGAAGGAGCTGGTGGTGGTATCAAGGATGAGAGGATGCAGGAGTGATGGAAAAGCTGGCAGTTTAGTAGAAGCAAGCCTGGGAAATGTCTGGATGGCTCGGTGATGGGAGTCTCATTTACTTCATACCAAAGTGGTATTGGAACGAGAAGAAGAGCCTAATACCAGGCGCACTCTTGCCAGCAGACTTGCGCGGGAGACCAAAAATTGATACCCTATTACATTAAATCGTTTGCAGTTCATGGGATGGATGGAAGGCATCAAAAGGGGCAAAAAAGCAAAAGCTCAGGTACCCAGTCCGTAAATCGAACTGGGCCCCTACGAAATCCTCCATCCGTTGACTTCTCGAAATTTCATACCAAGTTCTGTACTAACGGACAAGGGCGTTATACCGCTCGACCATGAGGATCGAGAGGGCTTGGTTGAAGGAAGGGCGACCTCAATCTGAATGTAAGGCAAGCTACTCAACGCAGGTCCTGAATCCGCAGACCCGGCATAGTCAATACTCGAGGAATACGCACACATACCTAACTTCCGCAACATGGCCGAAAACGATTCGACCCCGTATGCTTGAATGACAGGGGCGTTTCCTGAATGATACTTCAAATTGATACTTATTACGCATGCTTTCGTTACCCGTCCGCAGCCTAGCCACCAGTGATTATGCTGTACCCCATGATCACATGCTAACGTGAAAGATGCCTCTCGAAACGCCATCCAATGAACAAAATTCCAGTTGCCGACCGCCATGAAGAAAAGCACTATTCCAGCTTTCCATCGGTTCATGGCCTCTCATGTATCGCTCTAGCCATGAACCCGCGCGTCCTCCCCTACAACCCCACGAAACAAAGTGAAATTAAACTTCACCAAGTTGACAGTGAAATGAGTTTCAATATCTGCTTAGGCCTTGAAGCGCTTGTATGCCTTGACCAGGCCTACGTCTTGCTTTGTGACGGCGATCCAGTCAGGGGCATATTGTAAAGCTTCGTCCAAGGCAGGGATTGTCCCGCGAACGTTGGCATCACTCCAAGAGCACGAGATCGTTCCGCTGAATCCTGTAGACTTTCGAACCTGGCGAATCCGAAGTTCCTCGTGCTCCTTGGGGGTCTCCTTGGGAACTGACTCCGCGGGCTTAGCCGCCGAGGGCTTGGCAGCTGGTTTGACGTCAATCGTCCATGGGATAGACGAGTCCCTCCGCCAAAGCGTGATGCCGTTAATGCCCCCTTCAGTAGGTGTGCTGAAGAGGGAGTCGATACCGGCGCCCTCCCGAACGTCAAACGTCACAGCGTCGTCGAAATTGAGAACACACTGCTTTGACTCTGGGGCATCAATGCAAAGCTCATACTCATTGGTCGAGTTCGAGTAAGTGATGTTAACAGTCACGAGATGTGCGTATGGATCCTTTGAAGACACGAGTCCGGAAGACGAGGTGCTCTTAAGCTCAGGCAGTCTGGGCAACACTGCAGATCCATCAAATCGACAATCAGATAGCAAGCCAGCTGATGGAGTGCAAATGACTTCCCGGCCTGCCGCAGATGGTAACTCGTTGATCATTTTGCGGGCGTACTTTTGCAGGCCGAGAATCGAAACTGAAGAGTTTCCATTATCCAGGTCCAAGTGCTGAATGAACTTGACCTTGTAGCGGTTGTTCGCGGAGAACGGGAAAGCGGCAAGGTTGTAGATGAGACTGACGAGGAAAATGAATAACAGGGCCAACGGCACGAGGGAGCTCGTCCTGTGGATGAATGGAGTAAGAGGCAAAGAAATCATGATGCTGAAGACGGCAATCGCGGTATAGAGAAGCAAAGGGTCCACACCATCGGCGCCAATGGACTGCATGGCCGAGGTGATGAACAGAGCCACTTGGAGGAAGACGATGATGGTGATCGGAGCGAGCAGAAGGAGTTGGAAGAACCAGGTCCAAGATGGGAGCTTCGCTGACCACGGTTGTTCTTTCTCATAGGGTTGCTTCTCTCTTGTTTCCTTAGTCTCCTCGTCGTCGTCATCTGGGTTGGACATGATGGCAGAGAGCGAGCGCCGGTAGGTTGTTGCGAATGTCGTGCGTATTGTGCCATTGTTTCCACTGCCATTGTCGCCACTCCTAAGCGGCGTTGTTTCCGTGGGCTCTTCAGTGGTTCCCTCCTCGTGCGGACTCGGAGAAATCAAAGCATCAGAATTGGGAACCTCGGATATATTATCCCTAGACTGCTGATCGTCGTGAGCCGTCTCTGCGTAGGCTCGCTTGCTCGGGAGCGCGAAAAGGTCGCAGAGAGTGATGAGCGTCGCAACAAAGACGGCGGAATGGAAGAACGCAAAGAGATATCCCGAAGCAATCTGGAATCTGTCGGCGGCGGTCGTAACAGCAACGAGGATAGCCCAGCTCAAGATGAAGAGCCAAATGTGGGCGTAACCGCGTTGAAGAGCGCTCGGCCTGACGGCGTTGGCGCCGCGCGAGATTGTCCAGAATACGAGAAAGAACACAGACAAAGTCATTGCCCAGCTATAGCGTAAAGCATCAGCTTGGAAACGTTCAATGGAGTTGACTTGGACTTACACTGCATAAGGACTGCTGGAAACAACCTCAGGGTTCAGTCTTCGAACCAGGAGGGCAGAAAGGACGGTGATCGCGCCCGAGAAAATAAGGGCCAAGGGGAAACGGAAGAAACCCTTCCAACCGCCAAGAGGGACCGATTCGTCGTCAATGTCTATCTTGACCTTCCTCGAGAAGAAGTAGTACTTGTCCTGCCTCGACAGGATGTAGGTGACGAGGACCAAAATCAGGGGAGACACAATGAGCAGGGTCAATGTCCATGCGAAGAGGCCACGAAGCTCAAGAGTGGCGAATCCCTTGCCAAACATATCGAACCAAACGCCCTCTGTTCCGGAACCGCTTGAAACCTTCTTCTTGTCTCCGTCATTGCGCTTACCGGTGAAGGAGCCCGAAGTCTGCTGAAGCGAATCAACAGCAGCCAAGCCGTTGGAAAGCATGTGCCAAAGGCTCTCTTGCGAGGCATGTCGGGTATCGTCTTGGTTAGTGTGGTACCGCGCTCTAGGTCGGTAGAATGCGATATCGAGGCCGCGCTGGCCAAAGTTCTCGACCCACACCTTGTAATCCGTTTCGCTCTTAATCGCTCGAAGCTTGAAGCCGTCTGCAGCAACAACGGATCCAAAGGGATGAGGAGCGTTGGCGTAAGCCTTGGATACCTCCAAGTCAGTGGTTCTGAAGAGGATGGCTCGCCCTCCCGCGCCGGCACCCTCGAGATTCACGAATGAGGTTGTGAAGTAGTAGAGAGGGCTGTAGTGGTAGGCTCTGGCTCCGTACAGGCCATCCTCTTCGCCGTTGTTGAGCAATAGTACGATTCCACGCTTGGGCTGCTGGCCAGGAGAAGTGAAGTAGTTGAGCATCTGAAGAACGCTTACACAACCCATGCCGTCGTCAGTGGCTCCATAGCCGGTGGAGACTCTGTTCGTCTGTCAGCATGAAGGCCTGGCGCAGCAAAGATACCACTTACGAGTCGTAATGAGCATTGACGAGAACGCCGCCCTGGCCAATGTTACCACGCTTGCCCTTCCACCATTCACCATCTTCGTCTTCTGTGCCGCGGATGTATACAAGCTTGTTTGTGCCCTCAAAGTAGGTTGCATGGGCCGAAGTACCAGGTTGACCGAGTGGGCCAGAGGTGCCAGCATAGGTCACATTTGAGATTATGTCGTCGAAGACCGTTACGAGGGGGCCAGTCGAAGCACGCTCAACGGCATCTTCGCGTGGAAGTGCTGGTGTGCCACTGCAGCAACCTCTAGTCAGCACGTTTTCTCGGCACAAGAACGAACACACGGAATTTACTCACTGGGCGTCCTGAGGCCAGACAACGCCACCTGCATCCTTTTCCTTGGAATAATCGACTCCATTGCGTTGCAAGATCTCCTCGATCCGGGTCAAGAGGTATGCGCCCACCTCATCGTTGGCACGGCTGTTGTACGGGTGGTAGTTCTTGGTGATGTGCGTCAAGTCCTGCCATGCCTCGGTTACATTGACGCCAGTGTAAGGATTGTGGCTAGGAACAGACGGCACGGATTCGTGAATCCAGACAAGGGGAACGAGGAAGGCCGCGTAGACGACAATCAGCCAGAAGGTGACCGGACCTGTCGTGAACCCGAATGGGTTCTTGGCAGCCATTGCTACCGAGTGTTGCTGGGATTGCCCGATGGAATACTCCTGACCGCGTCGCTGAAAGCTTCGCAATGTAGTTGATACGATCTCGAGTCCTGCCAGACGATGCGAAGAGGCTACGAAGCTCCGAGTCTTCCAGCTTTGTCCTCGGAGGAAAGGCTGCGGAGATGGCCGGAGCCTGCTCGGTAGAGGGGTTGCGTGAACGAACCCTCGGAAGCTCAGATAAGGCAAAGCGATAGATAATTGCGACTAGGTAGTGTTACAGGGCATATAGGCGCAAGCAATGGATGGGCCTGGGAAACCCTTGCGAAACAACGATAGCAGTCGATCAGCGGGGAAAACGAACGGGTCACGGAGGAAGCTGACGAGAAATGGCAAAAGGCGAACAAAGGCAACGGAGCAAAGTTGTCAGCCGACAGAAGGGAAGTTCTGCAGGTGGGATGAAGGACGAAGGAGGCTGGAGGTGGAAACGCCGCGCTCAGGGTGTGGGAAGGCGTCATGCCAGATCTGGGACAGACACTGGGCGCACCTTCCTGGCCTGGGATGATGTGCAGTGGGCCGGAGCTGGCTGCTGCTGCTGCTGCTGTTAGGTACTGCTGTATGGTATCTTAGGTGGCCCAAGCTCCCATGCTCTGTTCTAGAGCGCCAACGGCGGCCTCCATTCGAGCCTCAGGTAGCCCACCCACCCACTTCACATGCAAGGCGAATGTCATCGATGCGGGGAACTTATGCAACCTCGCCCAGAAAACTTGCGACTGGCTCTCTTCAATCTTGGCCCGTTGAAATTTGATTGGACTTGGAGTGGTGTTGGACATCAAGAGATCGTAGCGTCACGAAACAGAGTTTCGGTGACAGCTTGGGTGGCTAGTCATCTTGAACTCTCTGCTCTTTCTGCCTCTCCAGCACTCGGATCCGACTCCGATACAGCGCTTTGAACTTTCAAGTGTGTCGCAAATAACTTCACGTGGACAGGCTAGATTTCCTCAATTGGGATGAACTTCATCTTTTGGCTATAAAACAAACGCACCGATGCATAAAATAAGCCTATGGATTAGTGTCCACTAGAATTCCCGTTCCCGTTCTATCGTACAATTTGCTTTCTTGTGTCCGCTGTTTTGTTGATTCTGCTTTTTTGCGTTAAGTGCTTGCTGCCCACACTGGGGTCTTCAAATACTCAGGAGAGAGAAAACACGTTGATGCGTAGGTGCGAACACTTGTCCAACCCTGGAAGTCATGATATGAATCCTTGGTTGTTAGTTGAGCGTTAGTTGTCAACGTAGTTGGTGTGCAGATGCGAGCTTGGCATCAAAGTTAGTCGTCTGATCTACCTCCTAGCTCCCTCAAACCACTTCAGGCACCAGGGGGAGGTGGGGGAGGTTGGTCGCTGGGAGGCGGAGGAGGAGCATTGTCCGAGGGAGGCGGGGGAGGGGCGCCTCCGGCATACTGCTGGATGAGTGCGTTGAGGCCACCAGCTAGACCTGGAGGAGCTCCAAGACCAGGAGCACCAGGAGGCGGCGGAGGGGCGCCAGATGGCGGTGCGGCCATGCCAGGAGGAGCACCGTATCCCGGGTATCCACCATAGCCACCGTAGCCGTTCTGGGTTCCGGGAGGCTGATGCCAGGGAGCGGCACCGGGAGCAGCGCCAGCAGATTGACCACCGTAGCCACCTTGGCCGCCACCGCCATAGTGGTCACCGCCGCCGTAGCCGCCGTGGCCGCCTCCGTGGCCGCCTCCGTGGTCATCACGACGGTTGCGATCGCGAGCCCAAGGTGCAGGACCACCGCCGCCGCCGCCACCACCGTCACGGTCGCGGTCACCACGATCGCGATCATCGCGTGAGTCGTTGTTACGGCTGCGCCAAGGAGCAGGTCCACCGGTAGGGCCACGCTGCCAGGGCTTCGCATCACCGCCGCTGGGTCCGTTGTTATTGTAGGAACCAGGGCCGGCTTCGATGCGTGCAGGTGCAGCGCCACCGGCTGAGCCGCCGCCGAGTTCTTGCATGAGTTGCTATCGCAAAGTCAGTATTGGGGTTGTGGATAAGGAATGCAGAAAAACGTACCTCGTACTCGCGGTCGACAGCGTCTCCGCCTTCAATGCGGCCAGCCGAGTCAGCTCTGCCGGCGCCGTCATTGCGCCAGCTGGCACCCTTCTGTCTGTCGGGACAATCTCTAGCCATGTGTCCAGCGTTGCCACAGACGCGGCAGATGATGCTGGCAGTGTAGTTCTGGCGCTCGGGACAGTCGTACTTGCGATGGCCGATCTGGCCACAGTTCTGGCAAGCCTGGTTCTCGTCGTCACGGAGGGTACCGTTGAGGGCAGCAAGCTCGCGAAGCTGGTTACGCTTGAGCTCGTTCTGTCCTTCGGGAATGGAGGCGGCCTAGCAGAAGAGATGTTAGCATTCGCTGCCAATCGTCATTGAAAAGGGGGGAGGGGGAACTTACGGTTTCAATGACGTTGTGAATGAGTTTCTTGGCCTTGTTGACCTTCTCCTCTGTATCGGCCATAATGAGACAGTGAAGATCCTCCTCCTGGTTGCTGGCGTGAGCTGCGTCCGAACGGCCTTTGCCCTCCTTGACTGAGCCCTTGCCGCGAATGGCAATCTTGGCGCCGGATTCTCCCTCCATCTTCTTCAAAGTGTTGCCACGGGGTCCGATAAGTAAGCCGACTTTACGACGAGAGCTAAGCGTTAGTGTCTGTATCAAAAGGGTGAAGCAAGTTATATGACGGTCCCAGTCTCCAAACAAGGCCAGGTCTGACAAGACACCTGGAGGATGCATGACAAGCTTGGCCAGAGTCCAGGCAGGGAACAAGGGAAACAAGAAATTTTGGTTAGGGTTAGAGGGTTAGCAATCATACTGAAGTTAATTTCTGGGTAATCGTTAACAGGCACGTAGACCTTCTCTTGGGTCTTGGTGGGCCTGCGGTAGTCCTGTGGCGGGTGGTAGTTAGGGATAGTCTTCATGGCCTTTTCGATGAGCTTGTGGCGCTCGTCTTCGAGGCGCTTGCGGTATCGGTACTCGCGCGTGTTGATACGGCGACCGTGGTTATCGTACTGGGGAGCAGGAGAGGGTGATCTGTAGACAGTGGCAGTTAGCGAGGTGCTGCGCATTGCTGGACACGCGTGGACAACGTACCTGTCTCCATCCGCGGGAACGACGTCGTCAATGCGAAGCTTTTGGCTAATTTCCGTAATACGGAGATGAAGGGTGTAAGCCTCCAATTGCTCGCCGGTCATGTTCGCCGTGATGGCCGTCGTCAAGCCCATCAATCCGGCAGCCTTGTTTTCGGACGCGTCGCCCCAACGGTTTCTCTTCTTTCTGCGGCGAGGGCCATCGGCATCGGTACCTGGAAGCGACGTTAGCATCTGCTATAGTAGGAGTAACATGATGCAATGCGAAGACTTACGAGGCTCTGGGCTGCGACCGCGCTTCAGCTCTCCGTTGCCATTGCTGGGGGGAGCTTCCTGGAACTCCTCCTCACCACCATCATCGCCGCCAAACCGGCGCTTTCCCAAAGGGATGTTGTTGGAACCCGTGATTCCCTGGTTTCTCCACGACATTTTGACTGATGCGCGATGGCAAGCAAGCTGTCAGTCAGAGGGAATAGGGTGGTGTGATGGTGATTGTGGATTTCGATGGTTGAGGGAAGGGAACTTTTATATGGAACCGTTGCAATAATAGTATGGGAGGGCCCTCACTGAACAGGAATCTTTCAGCCTGGCGCCTTCTGTCCTCCAGCTAAGGGGCGAGAGCCAATTGGCCCGAATTTTTGGGCGCCACTGAGACGGGCCCGATGAGGAAGCTCGATAGGTGCACGTGACAGCCTAAGTCCGATTCCACAGACACGGACCGAGAAGAGGACTAGCGCCAACGGTCGGTCGAACCTTCGTCTCAAAAGCACAATGAACAGAAAAAGAAAAGGGCAACTGGAACATAACTCCAACCAACGAAGCTTGCAACCCATCCCAAACACCGTATTTTGATGATGTTTGACTTGCACCAGCGGCAATTTTTTCAAAATTGTCAAAAATGTGATCAGTGGGAGGCTTGAACTCCCGGCCTTGGCATTACACAACATTTCATATGAAATATTAGTACCACGCTCTAACCAACTGAGCTAACCGACCCGATTGAACTCATTTGAGCTTGAATGCAAGGCCGGTCTCCAGACTGATGAAGGTCGCGGTTCTGGCGCGACTCGCAGTTGTGCGTTGTTCTGCAACGATATCCTTCATTAGTCAGTAGAAACCAACATGCTCATAGTTGGAAATCCAATGGTTTTCTTTTTTGTTTTGCATTATTTGTTCATCGGTACTTTTCACGGCCCGTTCCCTTGAGCATCACCAGGCACCTAACACGCTCACTTCTTGGCAGCATCATCCTTCATCCCCTGCTGAATCCACGCAGCAGCCCCCTTGGCCTTCTCGTCGAGTTCCTCATCCGTCATCTTGAAGTGGTCCAGCGCCGTGTGCTTGGACGGCACGTGGCGGCCCTGCTCGAAGCCGGGCCTCTCCACCAGCTTGAACAGCCACGCCTTGAGCGCGGGGAACTCGTCCAGGTCGATACCAGCCCACTTGCTCGCCGCCACCCAGCCCCAGCTGGTGATGTCGGCAATAGTCACGCGGTCACCGACGAGGTAGCCGCTGGGGTTCGCCGCGAGCGCTGTGTCCATGGTGCGGTACAGACGGCGGGTCTCGTTGGTGTAACGGTCAATGCCGTACTGGATCTTCTCGGGTGCGTAGCCTGTGCGAGAGTCAGTTTATGAACAGAAGAACACGGAAGCAATTGAGGAGTTGGCGCACGCTTAAAGTGGTTGGCTTGTCTGAATACTCATTAGCTCGCCGTCATCTCATCAGAAGTGAGAGGCAACTTACCCCTGCATGGGACCAAGGCCACCCATCTGCCAGTGCAGCTACATCTCTTGCGTCAGCTTCACGGCACTCATGGTCATGTGTAAGTAGACCATACCCAGTTGTTCACCTCCCAGTACTCGCGCGAGCCATAGGGATAAGAGACCTTGTGGTCCTTGTCATAGCGGTCGACGAGGTACTGCAAAATACTCCCCGATTCAAACAGGCGGATGGTCTTGCCATCCTCAAACTTGTCGGTCAAGGCAGGGATACGTCCATTGGGGTTGATCTCCAGGAACCAGGGCTCCTGCACTCGTGCATTAGCATCCTCAGGCTACTGAACAAATGGAGGTCTCTGAGATGCCAACCTTTTGAGTGTTCTTTGAGATGTCAATGGGCGTGACCTGGTACTCCAGGCCGAGCTCTTCGAGGAGAATGGACACCTTGATGCCGTTGGGGGTACCGGTGGTGTACAAGTGGATATCGGTCTTGGTCTTGGCAGCCATGTTGAAGATTTGTTTACTCAATTGTCCTAGCCGAGATGTCATATGCTTACGATGCAAGTGTTGAACGGAGGTTTTACGTGATGTCGCCGCGATGTGCAGAAAGTGAAGTTGTGTTTTGGGTCTAAATACTGAATACTAATCCACCTGCCACTGCGCTCGACGCCACTTGGGTGCATTTATACGAACCCCTCACTCTGTGAACGAGAGCTATGTAAGCTGCCATCATCTTAATAATCCAGGCGGGCGCCCCACACACGGTCCGTGGAAGCTGGCAGGCTGGGCCACTGTCTGACAGCTCTTGTCTGCGAATACCGTGGTACCGTGGCACGATTGCTTCCGTCAGAGTGACCCCTCCATTGCAATTTGCAGTAGAAAGGGCGCGGGGCTTTCTTTCACTCTTCTTTTGCTTAGAAATCACGACAGGGACTGTCTGCAGCCCACATGTCGTCACTTTCCCCGCGCCCGGTTGGTGTGCCGAAGTGTGGGGCCTCCGGTGCAGTTGAGACTGTCGACTCCAAGTCCGAAGTCCTTCCCAAAAGGTCCAACCTCTAATCACGGAATGACTAAGCACGTCAACTTCCTTCGAGGTACCAAACAGATCGTGGTGCCTTTCATTCATCAACGTGGCCCAGCAGAATCGATCAGGCATTCCCTCCGTACCTCAGCCCACAGAGTTCGCTCAACCACAGGATGCCTGTCTGCCTGCGCCCTATCATGACCAAAGCCGGCTGACGGGGACCCGGGCAGCCAAGCTCCGTGGTGCTATGAATCCCGTCGATAATGCTCAGCTACGGGACATGTATGGTTTTCGAAACCAAGTGAAGCTCACAGATTGGAGAACCGCAATCGCCGTGGGAACAGACTTTGCGGATAAATATGCTAAATTGGCCATCATGGGACCCAATATATGGCTAACTTCTTAAAATGGGCGGCATTTTCAGACATTCCCGTGTCAAAAGGTTGATGTCGCCATTGACCTTTTTAGGTCCAACTGGTAGATAAAGACGAAGATATCCTTCTACTAATATACAAGACTTTGCTCCTTTTTAGCGGCTTAAGCCGTAAGGTAGCAGACGCAACATCATTGAATGAAGGAGAAAACAACCCAGGCCACAGAACTCGGGATCACTTACAGGAAACAACGCCAAAGACGCTAAAAGGGGCAAGCTACGGTGCAGTATCGTTGCTCTCCATACTGCATTTAGCTACGACCGCTCATTGAATGCTCCCATTCAGACAACATGGCAGAATAAGGGCCGAGTTCAACGCCACCTTCCTTATCTTGTTGGCGATACACATCCTCGAAGGTTGTAGGCGGTGGAGGAACCCATGGCTCTGGAGCGTCAACGTTGGGAGGAGGAACGCTCGAAATGATCATCTCGTCGAAGGCCTGGGCTTGCTCTTGTTGCGTGTTGTCGGACCCATCCATTTCGTCGAACAACAGGTCGATCTGCCCTTGTCCTATGGCGGCGGTCCCGAGATTGGAATTTACGAGCCAATCCAGGTCGCTCCAGTGGTCTGCACCCTGGGACTGGGCAGACTGGGGGGACTGGGGGGACTGGTGCTGGGACTGGGACAGGGTCTGAAGCTGAGACTGTGGTTGAGACTGTGGTTGAGACTGTGGTTGAGACTGGAGCTGCTGGGCTTGGAGCTGCTGGGCCTGAAGTTGTTGTTGTTGCAGCTGCTGGTATTGCAGCAGTTGTTGTTGCAGCAGTTGCAGCAGTTCATCTTCTTGTTGCTGTTGCTGTTGCTGTTGCTGTTGCTGTTGCTGTTGCTGTTGCTGTTGCTGTTGCTGTTGCTGTTGCTGTTGCTGTTGCTGTTGCTGTTGCTGTTGCTGCTGCTGCTGCTGCTCTTTCTGCCGATGTTCGAGCTTTCTGTCCTTCCGGCGCTGCCCATCACGTTTGCGCTTCTTCTTATTTTCTTCAAGCTGCGCCCCAGCAATCTCCATTTGTGCCTTCAGCTGAGTCTCGGGCTGTTGATGGCTAGCACCCTGGCCTGGGAACTGGGGAACGAGCTTTTGCTGAGCATCCCAGCGAGAGTCAAGGGAGTACGAGCCCTTCCAGGTCTGCATTTGTCTACCCAGGCACTCGCAATGACCCTGCAGGGTGATGTTCATCCCCTGGAGAAATTCCCACCCTGCACCATTATGGGCAGGGACTTGCTGCGGCGGCGTCAGACCCGGCAACGACTCCAGCTGCGACTGGTTGGGGGCCGGGAAAGCATCGGGAGCTTTAGTGGTGCCGTTCATGATGACAATCTCGAGTGGTTTACACTGTCTTTCTAGGTCAGTTGTTTATTCACGTACGAACAGCGAAGCTAAGTTGTGGGAGAAGAGTGACAGGAGACAAGTCATGTTGGTACAGAAGCTATATCTACGAGGGACGTTATGGGTAAGGACATGGTCTAGGAAGCTTACTTGGCGAGCGACGGAGAACGAAGTGCAAAAGCAGTTGTGCGTTGAGCTATTCTAGCTATTGAAGCTAATGCAGGTGAGGTCAGAGATGCTCTTCCGGGAGGTATAGTTGTATGGCCGACGAAGCTTACCAAAGTACTTGACAGGGCTTATCGAGGATGAAAGAACCAAGGCGAAAATCAAGCAAAGATTGACGATACACACGAAGAAGCGATGGATCCGCGAATAACGGAAACGAGTATGGAGAGGGAAGAAAGGTCGAGGTGTAGAGGCGGACGGGCAAAACACGTTTTAAGGCTCCAGGAAATGCGAGGTAAAGCTCTTCAAAACTCTCCTCCCTCCCCCGATGCTGATCCAACTTTGTGGCTGACAGACGCGCGATTTAGAACGACACGACGCCCTCAGTCCTCTCAACTCATGAATCTTATCTCGCCCTGGGAAATCGGGATCGTGCACTGTGTAGAGCACTCCTTGGTTCTGGGACTCTCGTGGCTTCGCTTGGTGGAAGTGAGGCTCATACACAGTGCCGCCGAGTCTGGCGCCGGTGTCAAACGCATTATACTTTCTACCGCCGCAGATGCGTGTAAGTACCTTGGTGTCAAAGACAACCTATCACTACTCTATGATATGGCGAGGCGAAAAATGATTTGGTAGAGAGCTACGATGGCGGGAGTCCTGCCGCGTATCGTAGAGGGCGCGTGCGGAGGAAGTCAGGCGACTGAACTGCTTCACCTTTTGGAATAACAAGGCAATCTCCGAGCTTAGATTCGAATAAGCTCTAACAACAGTAGACAAAGTGACGGACTACGAGTAAGTCACCCCATCCTCACGACAAGCCCCCCTGTGAGACGTTTCCAAACAATGGACTCGATATCTTGATTCGAAGAGTCTACCCTCTTTTACCTCGAGACCTATGGAACAGTAAGTAGCTTGAGACCGTCACTTCCTGCACGACAATCGAGATATCAACGAACACGGCAATCTAAGCAGACCGAGCAAACCGACCAAAGAGGTGCAGAAGGTTGCTGACAGCGTGTTCTAGCGCCAACCTACTTCCACGTCGGACACCAACTTAACGGCACAAGCTGAGGCAAAATGAGCCAGTCCAGACCACCCACGGTAGCCTTATTGCTAGTTTAATGCAATCCTGGATTTCCTCGATAACAGGGTACTTAGAGCCTCGATATGCCTGACGGCTAGGGAGCGCGGCAAGGGACAGAACCGATGTGCGATATCGAATCACCCGAGCAACTTGAAATCGGCGTACTGAGGAACGAAGATATTATGAGGCAGTCTTTTCGCGATAGTGGCCTGAAACCCTCAGCTTTCAAGGGTTCAAATGGCTGGCATATAAGATTTTTGCCTTTGAATGAACAGCCGCCAGCTCCCTGCTGAGCCGACCTTCTAAGTAAGAAACAGAGGCCGAGATGCGGGAATATTCGACGAGAAATTATCCCAACCCTGAGCATCAAACTATCTCCACGGACTTTAAGCTGAAGCGGACGCCACGAACAAGCCGAGAACGAGACGAAGAGGTATGTATGTCCAGTGGCCATGTCGTCCGTACCACCGTCCTGAGCTAGTTGAAGAAATCTCTCGATGCAAATGTCCAAAGTTCCGACGCTCTTTATCAAATTTACCATAATTGGGAAGATTATGATAGCAAACAAGGGCAAATCTAAGAGTAAGATTCGCATCAAGGCGTAGGCCGTTCTGATGAAGTCTCCCCGGGACCGGGGCCCAGACGCTGGGTGCCGTACCCGAGAGGCAGCTTCGGCAGGAGCAAGTGTGAGTGGGACGCCCGACAACCACACCTCTGTCTTGCAGCTCGATGGAGGTCTATGGCAATCTGCCTACCTCTAAGGCCACCTTTGTCCCACATATACCTGGATGAGAAGACGAATGACACAATGCATGGAGAGCCCTCATCGCCCCTTTTCCCAGTCTCCTTTATACATCTGCAATATCGTGTACCCAGACAAGTTGTCTCAACGATCTAGTCATCTCACACAGGTAAAGAATAAAGGTCCAAATAGCACAAAAACACATGCCCTGTGCGAAGCTTCCGGAGAGCATGATGGTGGCATCCTTCAGGCGTGGAAAAACACACTTTCAGCCTCATCTCACCTTACCCACCCACACCTCGTCCCACTGCACGACCAAAACCTTGGGGTTGCGCGCGTGATGGCGTGGCATGTCGTGGGTACACACTCCCAAGCCACAGCGCTTATTAGACCTTCAGCTTTTTGCTCGAAATATATACCCAACGACATCGGTGGCAGCGAAGAAGGTGATTAAATTCGACACTGTGCGGTGTGTAAGGTAGCAAACCTACCACCCCCGACGGAATGGATGTTATTCCGAAATGCAACACCACGAGGGCGATAGAACCTGCCGGTCAGATATTCTGACGAGGACCCTGTTATATTGTGGTTCACGATGGGCCGAGAATCTTTGGATTCCACCGGTGCCCCTTATGACCACCCAGCCATTGGCTCCCTCATCGCCTGCGGTGATAGGTGAAGAATGCCAGTAAGGTGGCCTTCGAGATCAGTTGGGCCTTTGTCACACCCGCTTGACCTCCTAGCTCTTCTTAAACCTCATTGAAGCCCCCGCGCATGTCAGACGACGCGCCACCTCCTGAGGTTGCCTAAAGTTAATATACCTACCTGAGGTAGGATATGAGCCAGTCCGAGCTCGTCTTGAGTCCTAGGGCTGGGACGAAAGTCATCTCCCTTCCTGGGAGCCCTCTCGATCCACCAACCGCATCGTCTGGTCTGGAAGTGTAATCCATACCTAGCCGTATATGTCTTGACCGAGCAACTCAGTCTCCCCGGCTACTACCCACATTGAGAAGACTCACAAATACACCCACAAGAGAACGAGAACGAGATCAGAAAAAGAGGAAAGTTGGCCGTCATGTCTCCTATAGAGATACATACATGTACACATTTCCGTCCCGACGCCCATCCATCACTTCCATACTTCAGCCTTCAATCTGCCGTTGTGCCTGTCCACCCAAGAGATGATGCTTTCAGACAGTTTGACAAGTCAAAATAATACATGCTATGAATTTCCCCTTTGAAAGTCTTTTTCTCCCTGTAGAGACTTTCTTGTTGATGAGCCAGACCCAAACACCGTTTGTTAGTTAACCTGACCCGAAACTCCAAATATTTTCCAGCACTTCATTCTTCTTTTTTTCTTTCATTTTTCTTGCTTCTTCTGTTCCCCATCTTTGTTTCGAATAGACCGTCAGAGAAGTTCTGTCATGCCTTCTTTTCTCTGATGCCTATCGGCCCGCCCGCTTCAACAATGATTTGCTCGTCGATCCGTTTACTGGTGTCGCCCCACTCAACACGCTTCCACGTCGTGATCCGAGCTTCGTTGGTATCGACCTCGAATACACGTATGCGGCGGTGGTATCCTCCGTACCCGGCATAGCCGCCAAAGCCGACTCCGCCGGCGTAGCACATCCAGAGGGCTGGCTTCTGCTGGCTGTCTAGCGAGAGGGAGCAGTAGTCGTTGACATGGTCACTGTACCAGGTTAGGTTGTGGTTTTCTTTCAAGGGCTGAGGATGGAACTTACTGTCCACAACTGACCATCACGACGCCCTGCTCGACGAGTGCGTCACGGAAGCCAGAGTTGAAGTTGGGTGCTGTAACACCCTCTTTCCATTCGCCTTTGACGGCGAGATCGGCATCCCTGTACTCGGGCAAAGGAATGTGAATAAAGGCCAGGTCCATGTGAACCTTGCTGTACTCCTTGTGTGCCTTCTTCAGATTGGTAGAAGTCTTCTTGAACCACTCAATCTGGTTCTGCTTGATCCAGTCGTATCCATGGTACTTCTTCTCATCGGGAGAATATGCATGGGAATCGAGCATGTAGAGGGTGAGTGCTGAATGGTCCGACTTGCCTCTAGCAAGGACCTCAACATAGTAGTTGCCAACACCATCGATTTCTTCGGGCCCGGCCTTTGCCAGAGAATATGGTAGCGATTCGAGAATTTGCATCTGAGCAGCGCGAGGAAGCGATCCCTCATCATCGTGGTTTCCAAAGATTGAAACGTAAGGGATCTTCATCTTGATGAGGATTTGAGCGATTTTGAAGATTGCCTAGTAAAGTCAGTTTGCGCCCAGTCAGACAGAGAAAACGCCACTCACCGACTGCGCATCAGGAGCAGTTTCGCCATTGACTTGATCTCCACTAAGCACGACCAAATGGGGCTTCTCCTCGGTGAGGATCTTCTGGACGAAATCTAGCGTTCTGGGATCCGCCTCGCACAAGCCGCCATTGTAGCCCTCGGGCATGGCATCGCGACACTTGCCGACGCCGGTACTGAGGTGGAGATCGGCCAGTTGCATGATTTTGAACCTGCCGTTCTCGGGAATTCGCGGCTGTGGTTTGTGAGGCTCCTTCTGGCTTCCTCTCCGGAGAGTGATGTGGGTGACGGGGATTTCTTCGTTGAGCGGGAGCAGCAAGGGCGTTCCGGTGATCTGCCAGCCATCGCGAGCCTCAACCGCGTCGTCGCCAAACAGGACATCGATGCCTGTAACGGCCTTCTTGGAGTCGCTGTCCTTCTGGTTGGAAGACCGCTTCACCCACAACCCGTATGGTCGGCTCTCCCACCTCTCGTCCTCCTCTCCCTTCTTAGAAGTCGTGGGGTCGAGTCGGCCGACGGAAACGTCCATGACTACCTTATCCTCTGGTAGCAGCTCCTCCTCCTTCTTCCGTGCGACGTGTACGTATGCGCTGGTGGTCCATGACTTGCCCAGGTACAGGTCCTTTTCGATTCGGTGCCATTTGTTGGTGTCGAGGTTGCAGGATGTGAAGACGT